TGATCACACCTGCTGGTTACCTGAGATTGGAGCCACCTCATCCCCCACAACTGACCGTAGACAAAATTGGAAGAAAACATTTTGAGTGAGTTTTTTTTCTTCTTTATTCTGTACTGCACATTATATATCTTATCTTACCTGTTTTGGTCAGATACATTTTCAACAGTGACATCATTTTGGCCTCTTTGTCTGTTGCATCTAGCCCATATCATGATATAGCCCATAAGCTTTTATGTCATTTCCTGAGTCCAATCGCGGCCAATTAAAAAAAAAGGTGGCGAATCCGCCCTCCCCCCTTTAGAATATGCTACAGAAAGTACATTACAAAGATATTGGGAAAAAAGTTCTTTCCCCCACTCCCACCACCCTATAAAAAAACATCCTGGCGAGGCCCATGTATCAAACCCCAAAAAGTCAAAATTCACATTGCCACAAAATTTGTTTCAGCAATTTGACACTTTGAAGTTTTTTTCTTTCAGACTTCCAAAGACCATAGGGATGACTGTCATCAACAGAGGACCATCGGAGCCGTGCACCATTGAAGCACATGCCAATGACCTCATGGGATTCTCAACGGAGTTGAAGGATGATGGGAAGACCATCGTTGTCTTGATTGTTGATGGTGGTCCTGACTACAACGTAAACCACGAGACCAAGGAGGTGTACTATTCCAGGATCTTCAAGCAACTCAACCTGGATGGGATGATCATCACTTCGTACTGCCCTGGTTTTTCTAGGAGAAACCCCATTGAGCATGTCTGGTCACCCTTGACCAGATTGCTTACTTCAGTCTACCTTGATGACACCCTGCCGGGCGAAAACAAACCACCCTGCCATCAAACAGAGTTGTCTGCAGGTGAACGCAAGCAGAAGGAGTACAAGGTACGTGTACACACAACTTTTTTGGACAGTGTAAACTTTCTCCTTTTTAATTCAAAAATGTAAATGCACAATGCTGGCAACACTTTAGGCCAAGTAAAAAAAAAAATGAATGGATTGTCCGGGTTTCTTTAAAAAAAAAAGGAGGATGAGTGGCTTATTGTTTTTAATTTTTTTCAAAGATTGCTGCCATGTAAAACATTAAAAAATGGCCGCCAGCTTATCAGTTCTACCCAATTTATGTATGCATAATGCTTTATGCATAAAAATAGCTTTCTGAGGTGAGAAAAAAAGTTCAATCTGAAGGATGTTTTCGTTGATGAAAGATAACAATTGTAAAATGCAGTTGCAGGTCCTTGATGCATTTTTTTTGGAAGCTGTGACAAAGAGGATGGCATGAGGGTTCGTTTTTTGGGGGGTGGGGGAACCCTGTACTTTTACAGTCTTGTTTTGTATCTTGTGTTGATTTCATAATAGGTTTTTGACAAGGCAATGGACAACCTGGCTGGCTACTGGGAGAATGCCACCTTCGCAGGTCATCCAGTCAAGGTGCAGAACATCCCAAGCGGGACTCCAAATGCCCCCTTCAACGACTACGATGAGGCTCGTGCGATCATCAATGGATCCTACTCAGGTCTCGTAAACAGCCCAGGTATCAAAGCTGAGGTAGACTTTGCTCATATGCATATGGACAGACGCATCGGCATGCTCCTGTTTTCCAAATGCCACAGTGAGTTATGCGTACACTGCAACGAAAACCCCATACGTGACATCAGTGCTTGGGGTTGCATCAGAACTTTCCCTTCTCCTGTACCTTCACCACACACCGAAGGCCACTTCAGAACATTCCATGAGGCACTTCAGACGGAGAGATGTGCACCTGACGAGTACCTACCACGTTACATCGAAGGTGGCTTAGGAAGATGTGACAAGTGCCCCTTGCCGTATGTGTATACGTCAAAAACTAACAAAATTAATCACTTGAGAAAGGTCCATCCATTGCGAGTCTGACTATGTACATTGAACATGTATTGAAAATAACTAGTGGAACACACGCTAAATATTGTTAAACTGACTTGTTTCACGTTTTGGGACTGGAGATGCTGGAACAATCAAAGAAAACCAACCATGTTCTTGTAGTCTGATTTACAGGATGCTTTATACTGTCATTCATTTATACTGTTATAATTTGATAATTTCTTTTTTTGATGTTGGCAAATGTATCTTCCTTTAAGATACTTGTTGGAAAAAAATCATTCTCATCTTCAATAAATGGGGATTTAGGGAAGCATGGAGTTACGGGCACATGTCTTGCGATAATGTAATAAATGTTGAGAACATATATGTATATCCAAGTACTCGATACATCTCTGTAGAGCTATAATCATGCAATAAATTCAGAATATGAGCTAATCAAACTTTGGCATATTTCTCTTCTGGACAGACTGTTTCGTACCATAAGGCACTTATCAGCAGAATATGTGTATATGTATATCTATATTTTTATATAAATGTATGGTTTGTTTTTGTGTATATAAAATTTGAACATGAATAGTGAATATTTGAGAATAAAAAAAAACAAATCGTACATACGTTAGATACTGTGTTCGCTTTTTAACTTAGTTAAATTTAGTTTACAATTTGACTTGGACAATATCAGTCCAATCTCTTCCCATCTGATCCTAATACTAATATTAGCCATTTTTTTTCTCAACAAAGCAAATAATATTTTTTTTTTCGTTGCAGTATGCGCCACCAATTTTTTTTTTTTTGAAAAACTTGTCCAGTTCACCAAAAAAATCATACTGCTCAACTTCACTAGTTCAGTTCGTTTACCATACAGTGCAGCTGTAAATGCAGTAGTTTGTGTACAACATACTTTTGTACAGGAGGCAATCAGGCATCTTTATTGTCCATAAATATTCTCCAGTTCGGCATCGGCCTCATCATGCTGAGCTCGGGAAAATAACGCGCCGTGCAACCATAATATATATTACGATTATACCATAATATTCCTCCCATAGCCACTCAATATTTGTATACTATATCACCGAGCTCATGAATAATATACACTCAAAATATTATAAGAAAAAAAAAACAAACGCAACCGTACTCCGTAGGCGCGCGCCAGGCATGATTCGGACTCTGCCATAGGGCGCCGCCATCTTGAACTGCGCCCTCAGTCATTCTTTAGATCGCACCGTAAAAATTCGTGAAATTATACCCCCCAAAATAGGCGGCCCAGTTTCGAATTTCCTTAATACACGGGAGGGGGGGGGGGGATTTCTGTGTTTTTGTTTTTGTTTTCAATACTGTCAGATCCATTTTTGTTGATTGGTAAATATGACATATGTTAATGTTGCTGCTGTCATACGGACGTTCACGTCCACTCGCTGTAGCCTACATATTTTGTGACCGATTTCCTGGAGCTTGACTACTAGATTTTGCCGGGCCGGCACTGGGAACGTGAATAATACTTTTTGGGGGCCGGCGACGAATCATGTCTCCATGACAGTCTCACGATCTTTACGCGGTTTGCTTGTTAATTATGTAAATGTGAGTCACAGTCTTTGATTGATTGGAGTATCAACTTCATAAACATAAACACACCTGATACATGTATTTACTTTTGAAATTTGGCATCCGCGCGGCCAGGGTACCGGAATGTCGTCAGTGCAAATTTTACTTGGGTTGGTGTAATTCAAAATTGAAAATTTGAGAGCACATAACATTTTTTTTTATGTCAATGAGAAAATGGATACAACAGTTACAATGAAACGAACAAAACATTCAACTTCAATTGTGCATGCATTGGCCTACAGCAAATAAAATACCGATCGCCATTGCAACAAAAAAATCAACTTGACTCTCAATGGGCGCGGCCCCAATTATGAGGCCTATTACTTTATCAACATATCATGACGATACGTACGTGCAGGCCTATGATTGATGTACAGCAGTGCCTATCATGACTTTTGATCGGAGGACTATAAAGTTGAATGATGAAAATGAACTTGATGATGTGTATTCTTTCTCTTTCAATAATTGGTGTTTAACTTGAATAATGGAGTGGAACTTTCTTAAAAATGCAGATTAATATAAATTAAGAATAATGACATAAATAAAGCAGTCTTTCAACTGACGTTCATATTTACAGTAAGAACGTTCGGTGTCTTTCAATTAAAACCGAAGCTCTCAACGAAAAATAAAAATAAATATAATATGTCTGGAGCTCAATCAAACGACGCAAAAAAAGCTATGAAAATAGCCTAGCCTTACGTACGTAAAGTGTAGTACATGTACATGTAATGTCACGTATCATAAAAGAGTAATCCAGACACCATGCATTGTGGCACTGCCAGGCACCAACGTCTTTTATGTCATTGGAACTCCAGCCCTTTCATCGCAAACCTTTCATTATTTATCACAACCTCTTTGTCTGGTGCCGCCTTGGCCGGCTACCCAATTTCTTTTGTCAGCGTTAATCTAGGGATTAGTGTAGCAACCCTTGCCTGTGCTCAATAGCCCGCATAAGCACGCAATGGCACGCAGTGGCACGCAACGGCACGCAACGGCACGCAACGGCACGCAATTGCGGGCAGACCCGTGCAGCACGGGGTAGCACGCATGAGCACGCGTGCGCACGCGTGCGCACGGGGGCGCACGCAAATCGAATTAATCCACGGGGCCTAAAATGCAAATTCATTAACAGTCATTTCATGTAACAAAGATATGGACTGTACAGTATGTATTCAAATTCAGCTAAGGGGAGATACTTTCATCAGACCATTTGCCTTTTGTTCTTAATGTTCCAATGCAAAACTGCCTGTTTATTTTGATTTAACTCATTGGAAATAATGGCTAAATACAGCCAATAATCATGCCAGCCTCTTGAATGTCTAGATCAGGTTCTAGAAAGAAGATAGCATGGCAGTCGAGCACCACACATCAATGAAGGAGGTATACATGCACTGCCTGTTTGTATGCAGGTTTTATAAAGTAAACTGTTCCTGTTTGATCTTTGCTTTGACCACCTTCAAAGCAACTCACAGTTCTTTGACTACCTCCATGCTAGCCCAACCAAGGCACTCAGTGAGGCTGAACCAGGTCAGGATACCTACCTCAGGGGAGATTTCATCCGATTTCTTCTCCTTTATGAATATCTTGGCAACATTTTCATTTGGACCCAGTTGCACTCTCTTCAGCAGTGGGAAGTCATTCAATTGGAATGCATGTGTTTCTGAAAATGAGAAATGAAACAACTTGATTGATTAGCAAGATCATACCCACAGATGGTATTACAATGGTAAAGACTACGTTGAGTCATAGTGAGGTGGTAGGCCTTCTGCTTACATGTTTTCTTCCTGATCTCTGATGAGCTTGTGCACTATCCAGTTCTGTTTCAGTTTTGAAATTGTCAGTACATGTATGTACCTGTGATGCAATGGATTGTGCATTATCAGTATCTGTGATAATGCACAAGTTGTAGACATTTAGTGCTTGTTACTCAGCAAAGATTATGATTATGTCTGTACCATCAGCTATGGGCTTCGATGTGTTACATCAGTGTCCACTCATACTTTGCCAACCACTGCACGTCAATAAATCAAAGCTGTGATGAAGCGAAAGAAAGGTCTCTTAAAGAATGCATGAAACACAACATAACATCTCAATCTTATAAATGTACCAACCTCCATGATGCAAGACCGAGTAGAGATTGAATTCGTCCACTCTATTCTCCACAGCAAACTTCTTGAGTAACAGGGTAATGACCTCATTTGTAGTCTGTCTGCTTGACACCCTCACATTGGATACGGTTCCATATTTAGGCCTGAATACTGCAGTCTGAGAAATGACAAGTAACATGTAAACTGCACTTCATAAATACCTGAGACAGTTTATCTATTCCTATTGGTCGAGAGCCCGTCACGTCGGTGGTTTTAAACCGTTGTTTAAACACTGCTGAGAAGTGCTTAAAACTGGCCTGTAATAAATTTGGCCCCTGAATCAGGACAATAAATTTCTGCTTTCGAAAATGTATTTTATGTTCTTTGAAAGCGAAAATGTATTCTTCAATATTTGTAGGTTTTTTGTTGGGGGGGACGAGGAATGGCAATCAGACTCTCTGTTCATTGAAATGGCCCCCCAACATGGACAGCAATAACGTAAAATTGTTTCACAAAACATCATCCGAATTTTGTCATTATTTTTTAACTTTTTTTAAGTTTCTGAAAAAAGGTATAGAGCACCGAAGTCTGATATCATTTGTCTTTGTGCTGGTTCAGACGCTGATTCGCATGCTGATGTTTTCACACACGTAAGCTATGTGGTGAACCAGAATACAAATGTATGCGTACACTTCAGTACTCATTAATGAATGAGAATAATAGTGTGATGGAGCAGTTTTCAATGACAATGGCCCTCGCCTTGGGCTGGGTCAAAAGCAGAGTTGTAGACAATCAAGTCAATCAGAAGTCAGCAGCAAGTCAGATCATATGGCCATGAACAGAGAGACGAAATTCCTGTGCCATAGTTGATTTGATTAGATTGTCAGTTGTGGGACTGGCTGACTTGTGATCACAACTCTAGTCATGAGAATGACTCAGACTTACATGTATGGCACTGGAATCTACTCCCACTGTTTAATGCAATTACAGTCTGATGTTTTAGAGGTCATTGCTCACCTTACTATTGTAGAGATGGCCACTGAATGACATTGTTCTTCTTTGCAGGTTGCATTTGCGTGGCATCGTAGAGGACTGACCCGTTCTCATGTGCACAGTATCTGCTACGATATCACCATCTTCCTCCATATGTCCCTCATCGGCATCTCCCTCTACTGCAGCCATATCAAAGCTCCTGCCTCTGTGCATGCCCCTGGGTGGTCCTGCATTATGCTGCTGGCTATGTTGACTGCCTGCTTCTTCAAGATATTGTAGCTTTGTGCTTGGACGTCTGTTCTCATCACCACTTCTCATAGCACTCAGGAGGTTTTCATCCAATCCATTGTCAAATGCAAAACGTGTGCTCCGACGTTTCCAGCTCAGCTCTTCCTGCTTTAGGTGTATCACTTTTTGCGTTCCCCAATAAATCTTAAGCATGCCAAATAGAACATGCACACCATTCTCCTACAGAGACAGCAGAAAATATAAATTGACCTGAGTTAGAGTTCATCAAGACAGGAAACTGTGATGGAATGCTTTCCACTGTTTTCTTGTTCACTTGAAAGAAACAAGTATTGAAAAGTAATAAATTTTTGAGGTGAAGGTCAAATACACTCTTTTTGGGGAGGTTTCAGTTCATGAAACTGAAATAAAAATGCAATACAAATATGTCATTCCCTGTCGGCTTACCTGGACCACTTGTAGCTGCTGGTTTGTCTTGCTGTCTCTCAGATGTGTGTTGAATGTTCTAAAGTGAGACATAAATGCCGCACTGCAAAGATAAACAATAGAAATGGCATTCAAATACAGAGGTTTGGTATTTTTGAAAGGGGTAACTGTGTTCATTGATTCCCACTTCATTCACCATGTATCATTCTAGTGTATTACTATTAAGTTGAAAAGACACTTGAAATTGTCATACATTTTTAAAATGTCATTTCATCATACAATACCATACAGGTTATGCACGTAATTTGGTATGGTCTATGGCCAAATTGGCATTGTGAGTTTTGTATGGATTTGAATGATGAAATAGTTTGAGGGTTTCTATTCATACTAAATTGGACAAGCCAACACAAACTCAGGCAAGATTCTAACTAACTCAGGTTCTGCAGAAGAGCAATGTTAGGACATTATGAATCACCACTGTCCACTTTTGAAAACCACTGGGATTGATACAATTGTGAGCAAAGTGTGAATTTTAAGAGAACAATAACTTCACATATATTGACCCATGTTAATTACACAATTATCAGTGTCTTTTGGAAACTCACAATTTTAATGATAATATTCCTAATTGCCAATTTTCTTGTCATGTATTCACAAATATTCTCAAACAGCAGAAGATGACATGTGACACAAAAGTTGATGGAACAAAAATGACCAAGAACAATTATTGTTTTGAGCTCTGACATACACTTACATGTACATAGACATAGAGTACAATCTCAGATTCAATTTTGTCCAGACAAATGTGGTAAATGGTTAGAAAATTGGGTACGACATTGGCTTTACATGCACACAAATGAAACGTGTGTAGCCGAGTTAAATATTGAACCAAATTTTGCGCTGGGTTATTATCTTAACTATTATGCAAATCCCTATGTATGTTTATCTCCTTATGGTACATGCATAATTATGACAATAACTGTCATGTACATGTAACTTCAAAATAGCACAAAGTGATGGTGATTTTCTTGACTACCATCAGGCATATGGGGACATCATGTTAAACTACTAAGTTTCAAAGGGGTCAATATGTATGCAAGGTTTAAGGGCATTGGGGCACTGGAACATCTTACATACATGGTATAGTGTAGAGACTTGTTTTAGAAAGTGTACAAACCTTTGAATAATGGTTCTATACAACCTATCTCTGTGCTCCTGCAGTTCACGGGAATCCATTTTACTTTAGTATTTAGAGGAGACTCACATCGATGTACACACAAAGCCAAGACTCATATCTGTTGAAAAGTTAAACAAAGAAAAGAAAGAAAAAAGTTACAATAACAGGCATCATTTTCTTACTAAGCCTTAGTGAGTATACTATGGTGTATATGGAGTTTATTACCACCATCTGTTGACTTATTTGACACTTGTCAGTATTAGTTACAATTAGGTATGACCACCAACCTGAAACCAGGATGATTAGACAGTATCAGGCAAATGTTAAAGATGTAGATTAGATAACAATATACAAATATGACATGGTTGGAGGGTGGACAGTCGATATTTGCTCCCCGAGGTATTGGAAGTTGGCCGAGGGAACTAGTTTGTCAACTTCCAATACAAAGGGGAGTTAATATGGACTGTCCACCTGAAATAAACCACGTTATATTTGTTTTACTATAGCTCATGCATATTCAGTAGCCTAATTTTCTTGCTGCAGTATGCACCTCGCGGGCATAAAATCTTCGAAGAAACTTGTCCAGCTCACCAGAAGAATATTATTGCTCATAATGCTCAACCTCAGAAACTTTCAATTCGTTTGCAATACAGTAACTCCTGAGAGTTTACCCCATTGTGGATAACTGATTTGTAAGTACAGGAGGCATCTTTACTGCCCACAATATTCTCCAGTTCAGCATCATTGAGTTGGGGAAAACGCTAATTAACATTATGCGTGCAACCATCTTTTCATGTGTAGCTAGCTAGGGTGATGTTCGCGCGTGTGTACTACACTGGTGCGACAGTTCCATGGTTGCTTAGTAAAGCGCATGCGTAGTAGACTGTCGCACAGCTAACCTGTGCGACAGTCTACTACACATGCGTATTTAGCCTGTGCATGAATACTCGTACCCGCGCTTGGTAAACAGCAAAAAAAGCATCTGGCGTAAACCATGGTGGTGAGAAGATCAGTGACAATTTGGCTCTTCAGTCATGAATATGTATGAGGCACATGTACACATAGTAATAATGGATAAGATCAGACCTGGTTGATTTGGAAGTGTCAAGAGAGTAATAAAAAGAACAAACAAAAATTGTTGCAGGGTAGACATATGCTAATTTCTTCTATTAATATGGTCATGCTGTTTAACAACTCAAAGGTCACAACTACATGTATACGTGTACATACACTGTAAAAAGAATATAAAGGTACTTGTGAAACACGTCTAATAAACGTAAAACAAAGTTATTTTGTAGAAACACTGAATGAAACACAAACATCTAAACCAGAAAACCAACATTGATTCAAATACCTCTTTTATCTTGTAACATTTAAATTTAATCAATAACCCATTATAAGCACCTTTACTGCACTTTATTAATCCAAAATCATAGAATGTTTAGGCAGTTTGGGGCAGTACAGGGATTCATTATAGTTAATTAATATTTTACTGAGTTTGCTCTGTATGTCCATACATATTTATGGCAAAGAAAGCCCTGTGAATTTGCTGCTCTCAAGTTGATCACGACCCAACCCTCAGTGACTGCCTACTGGGTAATCTGCGCTTTGTGTATACATGCTTAATTGCCTTTCAGTTTCAGATAGTATTCTATTTCTATGCCACTTTTCCACCTTGTACAATGATGTATACTACATGTACAATGCAGAAAACTGTAAGTCACTGCAACCATGTTGAATAGGAAAAAAAACATTTTGGATCAAGAAACACCAATTTTGTTAGAGCATATATTTAATATTAGGTTTTGCCCTTTTTCGGGGCAAAAGCTAATATTAAATTTACATCACCCCGACGCAAATTCCATCTTATGAATAGAACATATATATAAATTTGCAAAATTGGATGACTCCCCATAGACTTTACACACACGAACATCAATTTTGGTCTCAAACAGTCTTACCCATTTTATTCTCAAAGTGTGACAATAATATACATCTTACAAATGTAAAGTGCTGAAAATAAGTTTGGTTTCATTGCCATTTTGATTTTTCAAATTGAAAAAAAATGTGTATATCCATAGAAATATAATGTTCAATAAAAGTTTCACAATCGCGAAGAATTCAATTCACGTTCACAATGTTCTGAACTCATATGTAATACGTACTACATCAGTTAGGCCTATAGTATTACACAATGTAGATTTGGCAGATTTCCAGTCTACATGTACTTGCAGTTATGTGACCTTTTCAGGAAGGAAGGCATGCATACATGTACATGTACAGTGGGTCAAGGGACGTGTGCAAGTCAACATAACTATCAAGTCAACATAACTATTTACATGACACATATGTGATATACACGTGCAGAGTGAGTCAAAAAGAAAGTGACCAGGATTCATTTTTTCCCCTTTGAAAACCAATTAAATAAGATACATGTTTAAAGAAGCACATATTAAACAAGTATGTTCTTCCACTTATCTATAAGAAATCTGATCTTTGCTATGAGAAGTAATGCATGTTTTACTAAAAGAAGGGCAATTCCACGGTAACGGAAGGACGTTTTCACTCATTAAACAAAATTTCAAATGTGTGTATCACAGACACTGTTCATGGTTACAGCAAACAAATGTCACAATTGTATTGCTATAATGCTACTTTCATTTTCCACACTTTTGGGGGGCATGAATGCCTCCCGTTTATGAATTATGAATATTAATGAGGTCGGTAACGGAAGGACGGTAAAACGGACAAGGGTTTTTCAACTTACTCGCGTTTTGCGTAAACTCTGTGAATTTTATGGGGCAATTATATTTTAAAGGTAGGAAATGGAATCCCTGAAGCTTTATCCATACTATACCGCCTTTCATTTGACTTTAAGTGTTTCGGTAATATAATTACAACGTTTTAAGCAGATTATAATTTGGTAACGGAAGGACGGTAACGGAAGGACAAAAGGTTTACTCAATTATAGCATGAACAAAATGTGAATTTACACTAATTATACAAGTAAAACAAATTGCTGAATTGTGTAAGTGAATGTGAAATCAACAATATGCAGACCTGGCATAAATAATTATACCCAAGAAACTATTGAGATAAAGATAGAAGCCTGCTTATTAATGATAACAAAAGAAAAACGAAAACAACCCAAAACACATAATTCACGATCACTGGACTACTACAGAAATAGACTTCAAACCCATCACCTCAATCCTTAAAAGTTTAAATACACAGTTTTTGAACTCTTGAGTATATTGGTTACATGTTCACCAACAACTTTTAATAATAATACCGGTAGGTTCAAAGGTTTACCTAAAGGGGGGGGGGGGGGGGGGGGGGGCGACCAGCCTACATGTACGGTACATTTAAGGTAAAAACATCTACCGGTAGAACTGATGGCTTCAGTTAGGTGTTGCTTTTAATTTAACTCTAAAATCAATGTTTGAAATCAAATTACAATGATTTAGAGTACTTAGTAACAATTAATTTATAAACATCCAAACTGAAATTGTTAACTTGGGCATAATTTGTCAAAGATTGCACCTCACATATCTTACACATGTAAATTGAATGAAAGTGCCCCAAAGTACCGGTACTTTCTGCCATCTCATTTTTGACTTAATTTGCTTCTGGAATGGCTTCACAGAATTCGTATTTTCTCTATTGTCCATGAATGCTGATGGCAGCAACTTTATGATTTGATTTTCTGCAACAACTCCATACATGTACAAGTACATGTACTGGTACATCAGCATATATGTACATGTACATTGTACATGTTGTACATGCCTGTGCCTTCCTTTGTAATAAACACCTTGCCCTGCTTATCCCGCTTTTGTGAAGGTGGGTCACATGAATGTCCTTTCAATGCTCATTGTACATGCATGTATTTGCAGTGATTTTCATTTTTCAAACATGAGCGCAAATGTCGTAACATTTGATAAAAATACGATTTGTCCTTCCGTTACCGTCCTTCCGTTACCAATTTGGTAACGGAAGGACGTGATTTAATTAATTGTAATTAAAAAACAAGAAGAACAGCAGTGTCAGTTATAATGTCATATTGAAGGCCTACCTAAACTTGCTTTGCACAATAACTTTCAATGCATTCATACTGCAAGTTTTAAAAATAAATTAAAAATATGTACTTTTTCGGTAACGGAAGGACATTTTCGAAGGCTGAAATATTAGAAGTCACTGAAGCGAAACAAATTACGCAAAATGTTAAAAACAAGTTTTAGTCGGTTTTTCAAGACCAATACTTTCTCATGACAGAAACTGATGGCATTAGTACATATTTTTGTGTGTCTATTGGTAGAATACTTTCATATCACTATTAATCACATTTTTAGGATTAAAACAGGATTATTACATAATCCTATTTTTTGGTACCGAAATGTATAAAAAATAAAATTCTGACTTCAAATCTTGAAAATATAGACTTTTAGCTTTCATTTGATGCCAAATTTGTTTAAGTCACATGTATTTGAATTTTTTGGTGTCATGTCCACTTTGGTGTGGAATTGCCCAGAAGCCATTTTTGCAGCTGTCCATAGAACACTAAATTGCTTTGAAGCTATGCAGTTGAGTGAGAACCAGGTGCAAGTCTAATGTACATTAGAGGAAGTCAATTTCATCTTGCCTAAGATGGTTTTATTATTTTGTTCAGTGTCAACTCATGATTGTCATGGCAGACAGTTGACCGTCTGGCTCCCTGACCTGACAATAACCGATGTCGGGATCGTTTGATTTTGGTCTCGGAACCAGACCATCAACCAAATGGTTCTTGGACTATATTTCCCTTTTAAAAAACATCCTCCAAAGCAACGGATCACCAATATAGTCGTAGGAACTGCCTCTTGCTTCATGGTATTAAATAGTCATCGGATGAGAAGACAGAAAAGCTTGTCATACAGACCATCAATGACAAACTTCATCTTAACCTGCAAACAGCTGACATTGACCGATCACATCGCCTTGGACAACCAAGAAAACGTACCGACATGAAGCCAAGGCCGATAATGATCAAGTTGAAAGTAATGAGCCGGCCAATGAAAGTGCAATACGTCATTATGAATATTTAATTTCTCATGAATATTTGGTTTATTTTAATTTATTTTATTCATTAGTCTTATACTTTAAATACGTCCAAAGATTGATTAATTGCAACAAGCGATTGTGTGCGGCCTTGTGGTAAAAGTGTTCTCTTTCAAAGAAGAGTCTGAGGTTCGAATCTCGATGGATCTCCGTTAAAGCTACAGTCTATCATTTGCAGCTATCCAAAAAGTAACTGACGTAATTATTGTTGAAAAACATACTTGGTTGTAAGATAGTAAGGGGACTAAACTCCCGGTGAAGTTATTCTTTCTGGCATGCTGTCATTTTGAAGAAATCAACGAAAGAAGGCCTTTCCAATGGTGCGTCTTAAGACACACCATTGGACATTTTGGTTAGTACAGTAGTTCGGTTTTTTTTTATTCGGCGAAGCTTCAAACGAACAAAATGCACAGATTACAAATGATGGACTAAACCTTTAAGTAAGAGACTGATTAATTAATCAAGAGGAATGAAGCCTTGAAGGAAAGGAGATGGTGAGAGTAGAGGAGGGAAAGTGGAGAAATAAGTTGGCGCTTGAAAATTAATTAAAAGTGGAGGTCTAGTACGGAAATCTTTCCACAAACCCTATGAATCTGATTTCTTGGGGTAGAAATTACGATTTTCCTACGCGGTTTAGGGGCCAGTTGGTGCCGTGCAGCGCGACTTGCGTGCTCATGGTAGACATGGTACATCACGCGGTGATCGCCATCTTTATTTTCATGTTGCGTTTTGTTGTTGTCATCGTCATTTTAAACCCAAATTTTCCTCAAAAATTCAAAACCATGCCCTTTATTAGGATGAGTACGACATACATATTTTCTCAATGGTTTCAGGTCAACTCGATCCGTGACCAACTCGGTCCGTAACTAACTCGGTCTGTAACCGGCTCAGTCCCTATGGGAAAATGCACGCAAAAAGATTGAATTTTCTTGCAAATTTTTCTGTTTCTTTCACAGATTTCTTGGCTAGTTGTAAACTTCACGGATGTCGGATTTAATTAGCACTAGGCCTCTAGACTCGTAAATAATAATTTGCGTAAAAATGGCACACTCCACTAAAACACATTCTGAATCACGGACCATGGCCTGCTGTGCGGCCAGGCGCGGACACATGATGTCACGGACACGGTGTGGCCGTGGATGGAAGGACCATTGACCGGCATGCACTGGGCCAGCGACGGTCACATTGGCCGGACGGCACGAGGTACAGTGCCGCCAGCTAGGCGCAGGCCTGCAGCGGGCCGTGCGCCTCGCTTGCGATACTTCTGCTGATCGAACAGCGGCAACATTCTCGATCTCTTTCTTGTTTAAATAAAGCAATAAAATAAAAAAACAACAACTAACAAGAAAGAATTTCACAAATATTTAGTTGGATTGTCAACTAGGACCATGTCCAAATGTTAAAAACGGCGATTCGTAGAGTCCTAGTTACTCGGACAAAGGAACCGGGCCCGTAGAACATACACGATCGCCAAAAAAAAAACTAATTGGCACAAAAAAGCATTTTTGCAATGACTGACCTCTATTGAGATGATATATGAAGAAAAAAAGTGACGTCAGGTTGCAACACTCTTTGCCTGTGGTTTCACAAGCAAGGAACCCAATAAGGGAAAATTCGGCTAACCGATCACCACTTACCTGCCGCCAAACATCCAAATTTTCACCTCACCTTGTGATTTCAACCTTGAAGAGGAATCCAGGAAACAGTGGACATGCGAAAAAAAATTAGTAAAAATGTGTTTTTAGAGCAAATTTTGCATGCACAAGTAGTGCAGATCCGAGTTGAAGCAGCCGGTCAAAACTGATTGAAGTGTCTGGAACAGCGGTACGTTCTACGCATGACATCGATAACCATGACGTCGCATGAGATGTCGCATGAGCCGGCCAATGATAGTACAATACGTCATTATGAATATTTATTTTCTCATGAATATTTAGTTTATTTCAATGGATACTTCAAATACGTCCAAAGATTGATCATTGCAACAGCGATCGTGCGCGGCCTAGCGGTTAAGAGTCTCGTGTATCAAGCAAGCGTCCGAGGTTTGAATCTCGATGAAGTGAGTGACTGATTGATAAATAGAAATTAAGGAAAGGAGAGGGTGAGAGTAGAGGAGGGAAAGTGGAGGGAATAACCATAAAAGATGCAACTTTTGGCGCTAGAAAATTAATTGAAAAAAGTGGTAATCGGGTAGCCGAATTTTTCCCCCAATAAAAAGGGACGCCTTTTAAAACAACACACTACAATGATTTTAGTACCCCGTCAGGCTTCCTAAAGCAACGCGCTCCTATTTCAGCGCACTCGCATTTAAGTTATAGTTTGCAAGGCGTGCATCCTAAAAAATGACAAACTTTCACTGGGATCCTATCCTTTGATGCATGAACTTTAACCAGCAGCCAAAAAAAATGTGGAAATTGAAGGCTTTACCGGGAATTCAGGCAAAAAAAGGAAAAATATCGGCATTTTACAGCTAATTACTAAGTACAAATGAAGGCAGATGCTTCCGGGCCTGCAGATGTCGAAAATATGACCGAAAGGTGACCTTTCTTGGTCTCCCAATATCGTCAGTATTATAGTCAAGATGTCATAGATAAGAATTTGCAGTTTCTACGAGCATGTAAAACTTACGGTGCAACTAAAAAGACACATTTCTTATATTATTTTGGATGTCATAAGTTTTAAAATCTGACATCTTAAAAACTGTCTCTGTTGATTGGATGATCAGAATAACAATATCATTGGGATCTACATTTAAAAGGTAAATATGTATTTAACATCTATTTATGTAAATATGTAAATGTAGGCCTTTTTATAAATCTCCAAAATGGGATTTTGAAAATAATCGTGAAATTACTAAAACTGTGTACTGGCATTGAAAAAAGAAAGGAAAAAGAAAGAAAATATGTTTGAAAAGCTCAGGAAATATATTTTCCTAAAGCCAACAAGTCTAAATTATTTTAAAAAAAAGTTTATATTGAATTACATGGCCTGGACAGCACATGTTTTTCATGAAGCGTCCCCTGCGCAGAACTAGGCAGGATTATTTTCTACAACCTGACAACCAGACAACGCCAAAACTGCATGCTTTGCCATTGGAATTCCCCGCTTGCGATTGCTGCCACAAATAAAGAGATTTCGCTTTGTTAAACGGTACGGTGGATGATCGTAAGCCAACAATATAAGTTTTGTTGAGGAAAAGAGTGGTTGCTTTGCTGTTTTTAAGCTACTTGGTTTTAAAGCCTTATCTGCATGATCTGTGCAGAAATAGGAGGATCGAGGATACATAGCGTACTACTACGCGTAGTGTACGAGGAAAACTAGAGACATTTGCGCACTTCCGTTATTCAATACTGCATTAATGATCACCCTGGTCCATGGTATAAGTCACAGTAGATACTGTTTTTTTTAAATTTTATGTCTCGTTAAATTAATGTCTTTGTCAAAACTTGTGTTGGAATACTTACGTTCATATCCCCCATTCGTGGGATCGTCCCAAGAACCGTCCCAAGGACTCGTATTACAGATTATTGCTAGCGTGGCGCGCCGCTTGTGGTACACACTATTGCTATAAACGTCTACGGAATGGTCACAAGAGGGCGTTGTGGAGCAATTATTTTTTTTCTGCAACCAAGTATAAATGCGGCGGGGCTCGACATGACAAAGTGAGATGAAATAAAACAGAAATATAGGTCTATTCCTTGCAAACGCGGTCAAACAAAACATTATGAATCGTAAAATGGGAATGCAAAAATAACACCAATGGAGGAGATCAATCAAATACAAATTGTAGTTAATTACAATAAATTATGCAAGTACAACCGCAGAGAACCCAGGAGATGGCGTGACAGATCGTCAGTCAATAGCCGCAGTGGCGGATCGAGGTGGGGGGGGGGGGGGGGGGGGCAAGCCGTTGACATGATCCTAGTAAAGTGGGGGTCAAAAACAATAAAAGGAATGCTAGTTCCTAAATTTATCCTCAACTTGCAGAATGCAGGAGAAAGTAAGAAAGTATCTGAGATTTCGAAAGGGGGCATCCCCGTGGCCCGGACGTGCCCTCGGCACACCTTCATATCACCCAGAGTTGTATCGAGTCACTGATTTTTGTGACTCGAGTCGAGTCGAGTCGAGTCATTTTAAAGAAGTGAATCGAGTCGAATCGAGTCACAGTGTGTAGTCGAGTCGAGTCAAATATGTAGCTCGAGTCAATTCGAGTCGGAATATTTGAACACTGTACACCAAAAGTTATAGAAGGAGCGCACACCTTTAGCCGGCGTTCGAATCCAAGAGCTGTAAAAAAAAAAAAAGAATCGGAAAATGCGTTTAAAATCCGGTTCCTGGATAATATTTTGTGCGTTCTAGAACCACGAGGCGGGAGTCTGTGACAAGTTGTATGTTTGTACATGACAAGCAGCTGTTCCGTACTGTATTTGCAAAGTGACGCGTACATATTTTGCACCGTAAGTCATTGCAAATACTATTCGCAAAGTATTGCTTTTATTTTTGGGACTCGAGTCTTATTAGCCTTCGAGTGTTAGTCGAGTCGAGTCCGTCATCTGGTAAGGGACTCGAGTCGAGTCGAGTCGATTCATTTGCTTGCAGTGACTCGAGTCGAGTCGAGTTGTTTACCATTAGGCCTAGGGACTCGAGTCGAGTCACCAAAAATTGACTCGAGTCATTACAACTCTGATATCACCACTCCCCTCCCCTCCCCGTTTCCTGAAAGCAAGATCCACCCCTGAGTCGTCGACAACAGATCCGAGACGGATGAAGCAGGCAAAGATGTTGGTGGCCAAATTTGCTGTACAATGGTGAAGAAACGTCTGTACCTGCATGTATAGCAGCATGGAGGAATAAGAAGTGGAGAGAAGTGGAAATCTACGAGAATTTTGCTCTTTATACGATGTTTCCATACCAGGAGAGGATCAGGAAACGAATTTTGGGAGTTTAGAAAATAAATGGTGGCTTTGAGACTGATGATGAAGTAGGTTGCAAGATGAACCAGCTCCTTTGCCCGTCCTCCGCCGTGCGGAATCAAACACCAGTAAACAGGCGCGGTTCTACATTTCAGCACGCCTCCTGCAAACATTTCTGGATCAATCCCTGCTATAGCTCCCTAAAAATAATATAGGCTCTAGAACCGCGCCTGCCATTGAAGTTCGAAATGTTGATGGAGATCGGGAAAGAGTCGCATGAGAAGCGTACGGTCAGCATTGTTCACCCGATGCCATTGTTTCCGCCTCCCGTATTTCAAACGGCAGAGTGGCTTTATACTATAAGAGACCACAGATGCAGTGAAGATTGTGTGGTACATGGTGTATTACTATGATGACTCTCAATGAAGTGACGCCATTAATCCAACCATCTTAACGATTAGTTCTCTCCATACCTCGAATCCCGAACCGAATCCTTGCACAAAATCTGTCCAGCTTCTGCAAACCGTCTCACCAATCCGCCCCATACCTCAGGGTATCAAGAAACAAAGCCCTTCCCATGTCATGTCATACAGGCGTCAGGTTCATGCTATAATCGATGTTAATGTCACCATCCCTGATCACATGAATATCACTTACGCTGGAACAAACTACCGAGTACATATCCAATGATTCTGTCAAGTGCATTAACTGTGGAGAACGCGGTCACATCATTAAAAATTGCAAGAAATCACAAAATATCCCTATACCTCCAATGCAAATACTACCCCCCTAATCCATCCCCGGTCTTTATCCATGGAAAGAACAAGGGCGGATCCAAGGGGGGGGGGGGGAATGTTGGTCCCCCAAAAAGTGGGTTCCCAAAACTACGGCGTGGGTTTCGGGGCCCGCTTAATTAAGGGCCCCGATTTTTTGTATTCTAGAAGCTCTGTGGTGCGATCTCAGGCAATTTCTGACCACTTTGACCATTTTTTAAAGAAAAGATGGCGGTGTACGCAGTGCCTGCTTTTATTGTGACATCACTTTAAAAAATATATATATCAATGAAATTGATACTTGTTCTCATTCTTTTTCTATCTAAAAAAGAAGTACCTCTGGTTCTATAACCGTCTCTAGAATTCGTCCACATCAGGTGTAATCACCAAACATCAGCCTGATATTAAATCAGGTGCGCGCGACTTCTTTCATAAAGATCTTTATAGTCGTGCGGAGATAGATGAATTCTCTCTTGATGAATTACTCGATGATATTTGCAAACTCTATCCAGATAAGTCTGAAAACCTTGATGGGCCCATAACCATTGAAGAAATGGAAATGGCCTCTCAGAAACTCAATTCAGACAAATCCCCTGGTCTCGACGGTCTATACCGTCGAATTTTATCTTTTTGGCCATTTATTAAACACGAGGCTCTTTAGTGCTTTCAATGAATCGATGAACTGTCAACATCTACCCATTTCTTGTAGAAGGGGCATCATTACCTTAATCCCTAAGAAAGGTGATTTATTCCATATCGCCAATTGGCGACCGGTATCTTTGTTAAACACTGACTATAAGATTCTTTCAAAATAACTGCTATTATGATAGGCTGATTGATAGTGTCAATCACTTAGCTACACTATTCCTGGTAGTTCAATATATATTATCAATCTCATCAAAGATATTCTGCTTTACTTTAACTCTGCCAACATTCCCCTACCTATCTTAAAAACCTCAATCGGAAGAAGGCTTTTGATAATGTTGATCACCGTTATGTGTTTCTTGTCCTTAAATCTATGGGTTTTGGAGATCGCTTCATAGATTATGTTAAAGTCCTCTACAACGTTTGCCTCTCAGAGCCTCGACAAAATTTGCGGACTCCCTCACTACACCGTTCCCCTTTGAAAAAAGGGATCAGGCAGGGGTGCCTTCTTTCTTGACTGCTTTTCACCATCGCTAAGAGAACCGATAACCCCTTAAATTTCAAGTGGAACAGCGAAGGCCTCGCCTTCCTTGAAGTTCATTTAGGAAACTCCCACAATTACCGACAATTAAACTGGAAGACCTGCGTGACACACTTCAAAAGACCTTTGGACGTTGGAAAGGTCTGTCCAAATTTGTATCCTTTAGAGGTAAAACCAAGTGGCTATACGTCTAAACTTCTGCATAGCCTTGCAGTTCTCTCTCCCCGCGAGGATATCCTAAATGAACTCCAAAGAATGTCTGAGAGAAAACATTCTGTATAAATCACCAGACAAAGGTGGCCTTAGTTTACCGGTTTACCACGATTCAAAAATTTCTGAACATGTCTTCCCATCCGTTTTTTTTATATTCATGAAGTATTTCCTTTAAAATTATCGGAATGTACTTTTTGACTATACCAACTTTTCTTCATTAGACCAGAAACTAAATTCCTGACCCATCTCTCGGTTTTCTACAGCGATGCTGTACGTGCTTGGATTCTTTTGAGAGCCCAAATGGCTGTTTCTGCAGATTCTATTAATTTTATCTTAAATCTACCACTTAACAGTACATTGATTGAAAACCATCTTGAGAATGACCAGCTCCTATCCCCTCGCCTTCTGTCGTGTGGGATCAAGACGGTGGGCGATCTCGTGGATCTCATTATAGGCAAGTGGAAGAGCTCTGATGACCTCGTGACGTACAACATCCATCGCATCTCCATCCGACTTGTTCCAGAGGAACTCACAAAGATAGACAAGTGGCTGTCTTCCATCTTCCCTCATTCTGTTCAATTCCGCCGGATACCACCTGTCAGTGAGAATTCTTCAATTAACACCATCTCCCTCCGACCTTCAATACACCATCCACATCCCCCGACAAGTCTACTAGGGATACGCCAGGAGCAGCTTTTGCCGTCGCGAGATGTTTGGAACGGTTCATTGTTATGCAGTACATTTTTGTCTTTTTCCCCCAGATGTGAATTGTCTTTCCTTAATTTTGTTTAATCACGTCCTGATCGATGAACTTAATTTCATATTCATTTTCGTAAAGAACCGTACCGTCCAACCAACTGACGCATGCGCATTGTGGAAATGGACTATACTTGGTTGCAGAAAAAAAATAATCGCCTCCTCCCGGTGAAATAACCGAGAATGTCCGATTGGGGCAACCATACAAATGTTTGGATTAATCACGTCGACGTACGCAATGTCAAATGTCACGCATTTACCATGGAACGACAATGTGTAGGCCTACTTACATTAGTTTTTAACTCTTAATAATCATCTAAATATTATCAATTTCACCGTTTCTTCATTGCTCGATGCTCTTGGTAAGTATGCAAAAGTGTAGAGTGAGTAACTGAACCATATACTTCGCTTTTTAAGACAGTTTTTAATTAGAGTGACGTGTAGTGGTCACTGGTGCTAAGCAGCAAAACAAAACCACACTTCTTTATTTTGGAATTACTACCGGCGCGGTATGCGGTAGGCCTAGCGCCGTTGCTATTTTTTGACGGAAGTTGATGGGTGCACATGTGTCGGTTGTCAACCGAATGGGCAATTGTGAAGTTAACGGGTCTTGTTCCTAAATAGGGTAATTGTTAATTTAGGACACCTCGCTTTTTTTACTTGTTCCGTTCAAAAATGACTTTTGCTTTTTAGTTTTTGGAAATGACTGTCATTTGTCGAATTTTCCAAAGTGACTTTTTGTAGCCCCCCTAACTCTAACTACTTACCCCGGTATCTACGCCTGCAAATTTCTTGTTTTGAAATTATTCATGTAACCTTATGTTTTGCAGTTATGGTTATGGTTAACCCGTAATCGATGTTCTTTTACGTAAACAAAGAAAAGTAAAGAAAACCCCCCAAAAACTAAGTCTGGGGAAATTCAGGTTGGTTCATAACCTCATTTTGTTAACATGTGAACAGCAGAAATCGATCAAACATCACTCATTAAATTGGTAGTCTCAAACAAAAATGGTATCAAGAACGGGTGAACAAAATTCCCCTGCCTGGCAACGCCGACAATGATGCCAAATGCATTCACTCCGGAAGTACATTACGGACGAGTACGTGAGATTGACGGTGATTACCTACGCCCCTGCCCGATTGGCCCTCAGCCTTTTGCTAAAAAAAAAAGGGTTTAAAGTGGTCAGAAATAGTATATGGCCTCAGATCGCACCACAGAGCGTCTTGAATCCAAAGATCATGCAGCAGTTATTCCAGTAACTTGAATATCCACTGTGGCAGTTGGTTCGCCAGTAGTAGATTGCCCTTCGACAAAACCTGGTTCTGACATACTGCTGGGCTGCATGGATGTCAACGATGCAGCAATTTGAGAAGCCAGTTATAACAGGGGCATGAGCAGTGATAGTCCGAAAATTTGGGACTCTCAATTTTGTGTATGAGAGTCCCAAAATTTAAGGTATTAAAAGCATGCAAAACAAGAAAATAGACTGGCACCTAAAACAACCAGTCCAACACAGCTTCAGCACTGCATCAATCAATCATACCAAAAGAATTGAAGAAACATGTGGCACGAAGCGGGAACTAGTCTTAATTTACTACACACTTCTCCATAGTCAAGCCACCAGACTATTGACACTGAATGAAGAGGTTAGTCTTTACAAATAGTTGGACCATGGTTGGACATGTACCAGTCTAGTATTTAGCCCCATTTTGAAATCACTTGACTTCCCTCTCATGTGCAAAATATTGAAGAAAAGTCTCCTTTAAAAATTGAATTAAGTCTGCAAACTTGGTTGGTGAAATACTGAGGATATTTTCTTTGCCCCAGTGGAATTTCTGGAGAAATTTGCTGGCTAAACTGTGAGTAAAGTGGGCCTGATTTAGTTTTGCACGTTTCAGAGCACTCCAGAGCCCTGTCTGGAGCAGTGAGACTGTTGTCGACTGGTTTACCTATTGCCACGAAGTTTACCTCCATGTAGTCCAGCAGTATAGCACCAAAGCCATCAGTGGACCAGGAAAGATTTCGGACGCCGTAAATACAAATGTGGCCGCCTTGTAGATGGCAAATGGGTCCTAGGGGAATTTGCCTTGAGACATAGGATGTCTTCCTTTATCGAGGCATCTGGCAGAAAAGTCACACAATAAACTGAAGGCAGGATATGGTTGCCTTGTCCCCGGCCCATAAAGAGAATCCCTTTGAAACCTGAATTATATTAAAAACTAGTGGAGATGGCGGCGAATGTGTGATGGCCATACAGAATTCTTGCTAAACATTTTATGTTTTATTTTTCAATTTGTTTTTTAATAAGTTGCAACGCGGCCTGCCAAACCCACCCAGCCTGCTAGATATATGCTACTTTGAGGACTTGTGAATGTTTATTTCAGTCATGTCAGTGTCACTGGTTTGAACGCTGCTTACGCCGCGTTGTCATGTATGGGCGTAAAAACCTCAAAATAACACGAGGAAGGAGAAATCAAGTTTGCAGACTAACAAATCTTCATTTTGATGACATTCCAAAGTTTGGAATGTGAAACGATGTTTGCTTGAAAGCTTTTTTTTATTAACTACGTATCGTTGCCAAACCTTGAAAAACACGTGTGCAGGGATTGGTCGTCGTCATTGTGGCCTAGTGCAGCTAGTTCCTGTCTGTTCTTATAGCATTCTACCTGTGGATATATTTGGTGATGGGAATCGGTATATCAGTGCACTGCTGCGCAGCACGCACTGAACACGCAATGTACACGTATGATCGAGCAACAATGAGCAAATGGCCGTGCGTGATGTACAAGTACATGTATTCTTTTCTCTAACAGTTAATCCAAAGCTGGGATTGCATGTTTAAAAGTGAATCATCAATACATACATGCTTGTTTTTAATGCTTGAAAGGCGAGATCTTTTTTCTTGGTCGATAAAAGTGCCTTGTTTCAGTGGCGATTTTTAATGTATTACGATTGTTTTTGGAGGCGATTCCGTAATACAAGTTAGTAAAAAGGAAAAATGATGGAACACGCTCGGGACAAGTTCCTGCACTTTGTCAGAAGTTTACATGTACACCATTTCAGGCAACTTATAAATTTGGTCTAGAATCATTGACACTGGGTACTGAAGGAGATTTCTGGCATTGATATCTCATAAAATCTTTGCAACAGCTCCCCTTCTTGGTCCTGTGGCCCTTGCGACGTGCTCTGAATGCATGTGCAGTCGACATGTACATGTACGTTTTGTACATCACTGTGCTGTACGCTCCGTGCACAAGTAACCCTTCAACGGCCAGAAAAGGAGAGTTGGGGGTGACCTGCCGGTGGACTGGTTCCCAGTCCATCCACTGCATATTTCGAATGATCCAAAGTTATTGGGGGCGGGGATTAGTCTGCGAGACCATCACAAGTTAAATTTGAACGTATTCGCGCCGACAACGCCTGACGCTCACGCGCGAAGACGCTTCGGCTTAGCTTTGTAGACATTCAGGATAAATAAGTCGCGCGTACTTTGTGCGCGAAGCAGTCCCATACGCATGCGCGGTGTGCCGTCCAAGGGGCTCTCAAAGTGGTAAAAACACGCCCTCTTCTGTTAGCGCACGGAACCCATAGCATTAAGAATTGCACACCAAAAAGAAATTTAAAAAAGTAGCCATCTGCCCGCATCAATTTTTGTTTTCAATCTGATGATAAAATTATAATTTATGTTGTGGGCATTAATTAAATGCAGTGGCTTTTGTTACGGCAGAGGACCGTCTGGTTCCCTGACCTGACAATATTCAACGTGAGAATCTTTGGCTCTTGGAACCAGACTATGAACTGAATGGTTAAATCCAACAAGAATGATGTGAATAGTATTATAAAAAGAGTGTCTTCGATATTGTTGTAAAAAATGCAACGGGTCATACATGTAAACCACAAGGATGATCTTGTAGATGTTGAAAAGGGCAAAAAGAAAACATTTCCATGAAGATACTCAGAAGAAAGGGATGATAATGCCGTTTTTCGTTTGTAGAGGAGAAGCTTGGCACAACTTCTTTGTTGACGAGCTTTAAATTCATTTAATTAATAAATAAACGTATTGCCTTAAATGTTAGTATGTAAATCGTGAAGAATTTTCTTTGCAATATTTAGTTTGGAGCTATTTTTGTCTATATTGAGTGACATAATGTGGACAGGTTAATTATACATTGTAATACACGCATGGGCGTCGCCAGGAGGGGGGCATGAAAAAGCACCCCGAAAAAGGAAAAAAAAGAAGAGGCGTGTAGTCATATTGCTGTTAATTTAATGCACATTTAACAACATGGGCGTCCACAGGGGTGTCAATGGGGGTGGGGTGGGCAAATGTCCCCCCACCCACCTCCGAAAAAATTACCTCTGGAAAAAATCCTGGCGATGCCCATGAATACACGTAGGATTGTTGAATATTTGAAGAGAAATTCCACTTACTTTTGCTTTGGTACAAGTGAGAAATGTACAAAAATTAATCTTCAGGGAAAAATTTGACATTATAATTCCAGAAAAACAAGAGGTTTTGCATTTTTCTTTGTTACAAACGCAGGGGGATGGAGCGCAGAACTATTTTATTTGAACAAATGCATCCTTTAGGGATCGATAGATTTCAAAAGACATTTTATTTACACATTACTTCTGGTTTAATGATGTCATCAGTTAGAAATGTGCATAATAAGTTTGCTGTTGACGCTATTTTACTGGCGCTCATTGTTGAGTAGAATAACAAGACTCGCTCATGTTCATTACGTTGTATTTGTTGTATTTATTTGGTTATACTTCTTTTAGGAAAGAAGTACATAAAAGCTTTATTCCCACCACTTTATCATCCTTGGGTCATGAATTTACAATGACCCAACAAAATACCACAAGCAATTCATACTTTCCTTTGTGTAACCCTAGCAACTTGCATCATTTTGATAATGCAGTGGAACCTCAATCCACAATGACTTTCTTGAGTGGCTTACTGCATTGATACAGCAGAAGATGCCAGACAATGCATTTATTGATCAGAGGAATGAAAGTACCATACGTAGCATTGGCTAGGTGTAAAGTTCCACTAATTATGGTGTCCCTAAAGGGACATCAAATATGTAAATACTTCATTTCACGACATCTCAAAATATTTCATGACTGCTAAATATTTCGCAACATGAAATCATTACATTGGTGTTGTGAATTTTGTTTTGTCTCGAGTGTAGTTTCCCACCAGCTTGGAGGGTCTTATGGTACCTTGCACGCATATACGTATTTTACAGCAAACTTTTCTCCTGTAGCACTGGTGGATCATATTTCAAGTACAAATGAATGGGTTATAGACTAAGTGCGGAAGTAAAATCTAACCGTCTAGTTTGTCTGGAATATTAAATAGGCCTAGCTAAAGTCGCCGAACTAAAAAGCATGTATGCAAGAGGTTGGGTCTCAATGATTTACTCACACATGAAGAGAGTATTAGTTACACATCGAATTACAGAAAAGGAAATCTTATGCTTTGAAAAAGAGAATAAATGTATTTTACAATTTCATCATTTTGATTATAAACTAATCCGGCGACAGCCATTTTCTGAGAAGGAACAAGGCTTGCCCTTGTCTCGCTCAGGTAGTACACACGCACTCCGGGCTCCTAGGACCAATAGGGTTACCAACAAGCGCGCCAGCCTTGTCCTTTAGAACGCGTACAGCATGCGCTTAGACGTGGTGCCACCACTTAAACAATGGCTTTTAAATTAGTCTATAACCACATCATACAGAGAAGTGAGTACAATCAAACTTTGAAATGTTTTGGTGCACTGAAGGAAATGGAAAAGACATGCCTACTCTGCCGTTCATCAGCATTTTCATGTAAAACGTAACACTTGGGATTTTAATGAATGTTGTGTTTTTTTCTTGACAGGGTTGAGTAATATAATGGCAAGCTTATATCAGAGTCTTGCCAGTCGGAGCAAACAAACAACAGCTCGTGTATGGCAACCAAGGAACACCAGTTCTGTCATATTCTCTAAAGGTCTACTCAATGCTCCTGGAGAAAATAACTGCTTCCTAAACAGTGCCGTGCAGGTTTGTATGCTCATGTACATCTCATATGTCTGAAGTTTTAAGAACTTTTTTTGCCACATTTGACAAAAAATTAAAAATGTAAAAGTGTTTGTGTGTGTTATTGGTTAATTAAACAATTAAAGAGGTAAACGGAATATTGTTAACAAAGTAAACTTGTATAAATGGGGACATTAACTTTTTAGCATTTAAACCTCTGCCATTTTGAATATTATGTGTTTATTGTTAATAAATTCTTATAGATTTTTATAGATTTATATACAATTTTATACATGTAGTTGTGTAGCCAGAGGTATTGGAGTTGAAGGCCTTCCGGCCACAGTTTTTAGGGAAACTTTTTAAATTCCAGGCATATGCCCCTGGCTTTTGTTTTGTTTCCTTGTTTTTTGTTTTGTTTTTATGTTTGTTGTTTGTATGTGTTTTTTGATGCCAAAAAAAAAAAAAATAATAATAATAATAATAAACGCTTGACAGGCAAACAAAAAGTTACCAATATTAAATTATATTCCTACCTACCTTTATACTTTTTAGGGCCTTGCCCCAAACACACAAATTTTTGGCCTCGTCATTAATCGTATATGAAACCTTTTTCCCCCCTCATTTTCTTACGTACATTTCTATTTTTCCATACAGCACATTAAAGCACATTTATAGGCCCTTTTTACATTGAGTACAAAAAGAGAGGATACTTGAAGTAATATTTAGGCAGCAAGTAAGCACCCTACATGTACACGTACAATGCACATGTACATGTACATGTACATGTACGTATACGTAGTGATGGTACTACAGAGACTTTGTTACACTGTATGCATGTTTAGCCTTGCCATTTTCCAGTATACAGTGTAGCAATATCGTGCAAAGAGCTGTTCATGTTTACATAAAAGAAATTGAACTTATTTGCAATGCTTGCTTTACTTGTTTTCTTATGCTTCAATGAAAACAGAATACAATTCATGAACATAACTTGTATTCAGTGGTTGGTTTACATGGTTTATGCATATTTCACAGCTGTAATAGAGTCGGGCTACTTATAGCAGTCAATGTTTAGCATCGTGTATTTGTAGGTCTAGTGCAATGTATTTGACATTTGAAGTCTGAGAATGTTGACATTGTCTGTTTCCATGATTGCAGGTACTATGGCATTTAGATGTATTTCGAAGGAGTTTTCGGGAGATGGGAGGGCATGCCTGCATGGGTAAAGCCTGCATATTTTGTGCATTAAAGGTAAGCAATCTTCAAATCTGTAATTCCATGGAAGTGTATGCACATGTATAGATTCTACGTACTTACTGCCCAATAGACCAATGTACATGTATGATTCCCAGTGATTTATGTGCAACCTGCATCCACAAAATGTCTGACATGCTTGACATGTGACGTGCCTGTGTTGAACATGCAGTGCGGTACTGCAGAGGCCCAAGTGTTGTAGCCCATGGGTGTGCAGTGGATAGGGCTGATGGATTGGTCTCTTCGTGTAACAGTGTGTCCAAGTGTTTTGACCAATGAGTTCCTGTTAGCCCCAAAACCACCCTGCACGTTACTCCCTGTACAGCCCAAAACGGCCCCAGCACTGTAGGGTTTATGGATTTATTAACCCTAACTCCCTAGGCCTTTTTGCTAGGATGTAGCCTCAATCCTGCAAAATCCTCCAATTGGCCTCATGGAAAAATAGCATATAGCCTCAATCCTGCAAATTCCTCCGTTATTTCTTGAATATGGTCCATGGAGGGATGACCACTGCCTGAATCCTGCAAAATCCTCCGGCTATGCCTGTCAATAGGCTGAGGCAGAGGCAGTGACATCCTGGAGCAGTGCGGAGGATGTCAAGTATAATCAAGGACTAAATTTATGCAAGGCTGAGCATAAACAACACAAGTGCGTACTCCGAAATCAGCAACGCACTTTTGCCATGTAACCTCAATCCTGCAAATTCCTCCAATTTGCAAAAAGGATTTTGGAGGATTCAGGGCGGTTAGGGTTAAAGAATAAGCACAATGTAATACAATGTATTACAAGTGCTTAATTATGGGTTAATATTGCTTAGGGAGAATAGGAGCCATGATTGTCCTTCAGTCTGCCCTCAGTTTGCCCTCAGTTTGCCCCAGTTGTTAACCTGCTAGATGTTGAATTGTTTGGATAGTTGAGATGGAATTTGCTGTTGCTGGAGGTTAATGTGTAGCTGTGAGTTGACATAATTGTGATAACATTCTTTATACAAGTAGTGCAATTTAAGGGCTTTCTGCAAAGTCTCACACCCTTCTTAATGTGAGTTTGTTTGACACCTGAATATAAGATACAATGTAGGCACTGTGTATTAAACAAAATCAATTCAAAGTTTTTGGGGGGCAAATTTAGTGACATTAGCAAAGTTTTAATCTTGTATGCTTTGTGGTTTGCTTGAAGGTCTTATTTACTCAGTTGAGGTACAGTGAGAAACAATCCCTTCCTCCCGATGCACTCAGGAAAGCAATGGCTGTAGCATTCCAAGATGAACATCGCTTCCAACTGGGTTGTATGGATGATGCTGCCGAATGCTTCGTAAGTATACGCAGCAACAAATTATTAGGCTACAAAATATATGATATCAAAAATTAAAAAAAATATATAAGTGTTTCCATTTCTCAAACAGAGACAATTTTGCAAGACCTTTGACAGCAATTTGGTACCAATTTCACTCTGGTATTCTTTAGATGAGGTGTGGAAAAACCCACCGTAAACTTCACTCACATAAGAAGAAGGAATGTCTGTATTTACAAGGGCTGTGTCTTTAAGGTGCCATAATTGGCATTGTGTTCATTAGATCACAGAGGTCTTACTTACCCCCGGTTCAGACAGGCGTTCCAGAGTCGCGCCGAACCAAATAGATTAGGCGCGACTCCTGGTCGACCTTATTAGAATTTTGGTTTCAGACAGGCGAACTTAATACATGTACATGCAGCGTCGATGGTAATACGTAATCGATGCATCGACGCTGATTGAGAGCGTACTGCGCGAAATGCGCGTGTATCGAAGAAGACAGCTAGCACGTACGCCATGTGCGCTCGCGTTATCTCTTGCACGTCACGCCACGTACGAAGAATTTGTATTTCAAGACTGCGCCGTGCCTGTACAACATGGATACTGGAAGTCTCGGTTTTCCGCTTTAAAAAAAATGTATGTTGTGTTGTATTGGGGCGACAGTGGGACGTACAGTAAGTTTTTGCTTTGTAACACGACATCAAAATCTCGTGTTTGAAAGGATTAAATCTGCTAAAAGAAAACTTTCAAATTATAAGCGTCGCGCGTTAAACACATTGCCTGCAGTCCTTATTTTTGAAGGTCACTACTTATTTACATACATTTACATACATTTGCATTGAGTTCGGCTCATGACTAGAGCGACGTCTGAAACCAAGTCGCTCCTGAGTCATTCTAACGACTCCAACAGTCGATCTTTCGCCATCGAGCGCGTCAGGTCAATACTAATTGTTTCAGACGTCAGACTTTGGACGCACTTAATTCAAATCTAGACTTTCATTTGGTTCGGCGCGACTCTGGAACGCCTGTCTGAACCTAGTGTTAGATGTTCCTTTAAAATGTCTCATCTAAATCTAAATTGGTCAACTGACCTGACATCGGAAGTATATACTCAATTTTGGGTGATCTACATTTATGTTAGAATTGGACACTCTCTGCTATATTGTGGCTCTGCATTTTAAATAATCTGAAGGGGAGTAAATTAACAATGTGTATTTGCAAAATTGTAAAAGTCAGAGGTTTTGGCGTTTGGATATTTGCAGAATCTTCTCAAAGGAAAAGTAACATGGGAACAGTGAGGAAATAGTGAACATGGTTTTTGCAACTTGTTCGTGTTCCCATGTCATCTAATAACTTTGATGATTTGTCTATGTCAAGTCAATCCAGTCAGTAATGCCTCGTTCTGACTAGCCTTCCAGAGTCATGCTAAATCAAATAGAATAAGGACCAAAATAGAGTTGGGTTTCAGACATGCCAACTTCGTTTTTGTATGTTTATCAATTTTCCACTGAAATGTGTATGTATGTGGATATGTGTCAAACAAAATGGCTGTTACCGCACTCTAAATATCCCTCACTATTCCTGCTGATTGCTTTTCTGCACAGGAGAATATCTTGACTCGCATCCACTTTCATCTTGCCCATGATATCAAGGAGGAATTGTGTGATGCTAAATACTGCATCCCACATCGCAAGTTTGCTATGACACTCATTGAACATGTAAGTATTCCACATGAATACATGTATGTGTTGAAATCAGCAATATTTGCTGAAGAAAATAATGTTAACAGTTCTATGGTGTGATTAAAGACAAATTGTATATTGACAACTTCACAAAACATTAAGGTATGGATGCCTAGGTACCAACTGAAATCCTGGCTTTTCTTTGTGCACATGTTTGCGCACATGTTTGCGAGGTGAAGTCTGTGACTATATCAGTTGGTATGACCCAACTGGCAAGTACAGAGAAAAAAATCAACAGAACCTTCTTGCCTACTGGAATATATAATAATACTCAAGTTCACTAGCATTAACACTAAAATCTTTAGATTTGCAAAGAGTGTTGATTACAAATGTCTCATTGTACAGTTTATTTGAAAAACTAGATGCAATTAGAAATATTTTTATTTTTAAATGTCTTGTTTTGTATCTTAATTCCTCTTTTGAGACGCTTTCCACTTTATGGGATTGTAGTCTATATACATGTACATGCCTGCGTAAATTGCTGATCTGTTGCGATCAAGTTATGATGAACTGTCTTCAAGTCGTGTTATATTCAAATCCATTACAAGACCTGACAAGTCCATCACTCCTCAAAGTCAAGCCACAAGCTATTTACATGAACCGTGTCAAAGACTTTGTTGTTAATGTTCATCCCCTGTTCATTGTGACTGGACTTGTGATTTGACTTGTGATGGACTTAACAACACAATTGATTTACATTGGCATCAATTGTATGTTTGATGACAGAGTGTCTGTACATGTGGAGCTACATCAGAGCCCTTTCCCTTCACTCAAATGGTACATTATGTTTCCTGTACTGCTATATGGTAAGTACTTGCTTAGTATTTGCACAGCATGTTTATGTATGTCTGCCAATTGTTAATTTTTATACAAGATGAATCAAAAGGGAAGTGACCGAGTTAGAAAAAAATATGAATGAATGAAATTTGCACAGGAAAACAGACCAAATTCCTATCATCTTTTAAAAACAAAGACTTGATTTGTTCCTTGTATACAAAACACAAATCTGACAGTAAAAATAACGTTTCATACTTGACTCAAATGATAGAAATCTCATTTAAATTTGAGTGCCTGTGTGAAATCTGTGGTTCTCACTCAGGTGAATAACCTCAAAGCATGGGCAGCTTATAAAGTGGATTCTTTTAGTAAAACTTGCATCTGATGATAGCATGGATCAATTTCAGTGATTCTTTTTTCCACAATACATGCTTCATTGGTGTATTAAATTTGATTGCTTTTTAAGGGGAAGAATTCATTAATCCAGTTCACTTTCTTTTTAACTCACCCTGTATGTGACCCAACCCAACAAAATGAGTCACAAGTTAAAACTACTTTTGAATAACAACCTTTTGACAAATCTTGTGCACAGGTCAGTAGGAACTTCACCCACATAATGTTGGGATATATTAAGATTTCATACATATTTCCACGTATATATTAAGATTTCATACTGGGTAATATGCTGTTTCTACTGCTATGAATAACAGATATGTAAAAATAACGTCCTTCCAGACCCATATTGGAGGATCTGGTCTCATACAAAAAAAACTTACTGAAGAACTTCTAATGTGCACTTTCACCGCTAAAAGTTCCTTCCTGAAGTGAAGACAGGCTGTGGTTTGCATGTTGCTTTAGATACACCTTGATCTCTGTATAGCCCTAAGAAATACCTCAGATAGGGCCAAACAAGCCCTATCATTCATAGATAGTCACTAGTCAGGTCCAGCCTTAGTAATATGAAACGTTCTGCTGTTTTGTCTGTCCATGTATCTTTGTAGCACCGAGGCCAAGAAGTTAAGAGAGAGACACCATTGGAGTAGCTCTGTCTGCTTTGGTCATGTGTTGAGGAATGCAGGAGCAGTAGGAGACATCCGAGATTGTCCGGTAAGACAGCTTGCATTCTCTTTGCTCAAACTATTTTCATTCTTGTGTTGAGATATAATTTCAGCACCTTTGTTTTCTTTAATAATTATTATTAAAATTAATATTTATTTCTGGTAATGAAACCAAGGATTCCTCAAAAGCGCCTTAGCACTGTAGTTCGCAAACTACCATTACAGTTTACAGAGAAGAAGTTGCAGTTTTAGAGGTGGGAGGAAAACCCCAGAAGAATATTCTGCGGAAACCATCGAATCAGGCAGGGACTGAAAAGCCAATCCACATGTTGGCCCAGGCGGGATTCAGATCCGAGTCACAGCAGTGGAAGGTAAGGAAATACCGCTACACCAACGCTTATGAAAATAGCCAATCAATTGACTGGTGGACAGACCAGCGTAGGTTAGGGCTACACAAAGAAGGGAAAGAGAAAGAACCTCAGAAACATGAAGAAACAGTTCACAAAGTAGAAATATTGATGCTGCGCATGAAGGGAGAAGGTTTATAAGCAACAGGGTATCAGGGTAAGAATTCAGTTTGTGATGAGAAACTGGAGTGATTCCTTATAGAACTTGCTTTGCAGATACTAGAAGAAATCAAAGCTGTGATATGAAATGACATCATGCTTTGTGTACATGGATAATGTCTGATGGGAGCAAGGTGGTGGATGAGGGGAGACATCCTCCCTACCTAGCTACCTAGGAATTTTGTCACAAGCCTTTTAATTTGATTCAACTTGGTATGTTTATTATTAGAGTGAATGTGGAAAGAAGATCAACATAAGAAGGGTTCTCATGAACTGCCCCGATGTTGGTAAGTGTAAATGTTTTATCGAGGTGTTGAATATGTCTATCGGCCAAACCCAAATGTTGACATTGTAGTAAAGATGGTTTTAAAACTATTGGGAGAACAAAAACTGTATTTTATAGTTTGAAACCCATTGGGTGCCCCTCCCCCTCCGGCTCCCTCCCATTGCACCCCAGGCACTATTTGTGTGGCTAGTTTAATAAAGGTAGAGTAGACCATTTGTAATTTGTTCATTTTTTGGTTTGAACCAACGAAAGTGCTCAAAATCTAAAGGCAGATTCTTAATAACCAACCTGATGAAGTTTTAGCTTTGTGAGTGCTGTATATTTCAAGAAAACAGAACAAACATAAACACAATATTCTGGATCTCCACTTCAATTCCAAAGTTGCCGAGTTATATTTTGAATTGCTCCCTCTCATGCCACAATCCTGAAATCGGCATTCGGGACATGATTCTCATTCAACCGGTTGTCACCCATTCATGGATTTGCCCAATTGCAAACCAACTACACATTAGAACGCATTGCCATTCACGGAAATTTCCAAAAATGTGCCACTTGACACATCTTTGGAAATGACCTTCTTTTGTTGTTTTCTTCAAAATAACAGCATTCCAGAAGGAATAATTTCACAGGGAGTTTAGTGTCATTACTATCTGTAACCAAATAAGCTTTTTCACAATGATTTGGTCTGTTAATTTTTGGATAGCTGCAAATGGTCTACTCCACCTTGAACCACTATTAGCTAATGTTGGAATACTATGCACAACCCCCTTCCATGCTGAATGTCTGAATTGTTGATCCATATTTTCCCTGCAGTTGCTATTGGCCTGGTTTGGGACAGTGATCGTCCAGAGAAGGATCACATTGTGGACGTCATCCAGTGTCTTGGTACATCACTACGAATGCCTGATGTAAGACAACCAATAGTTATAGCCTTCTAGTTAAGAATATGGGATTAGATGATTCTAAAGTGATGCTCACAAATTTGTTAAGTTTATTCCATCTTTTGCAACGATTACCCAGATCTGATGAGTTTTAAAAATATCTTTCCTTAATATTACTGGTTACTTGTTAAAACCTGTTTCAAAGCTATGACAATGTTTTTCATGTACTTCAGAAGACTTGAAATTACAATATTGGTTTTTGTGGTTGGTAAATGTTAGTCTCATAAATGAATGGAATTGTTATACTGTACATCTGTGCCATCAACGAATCTCATGAAATGAAAGAAATAATACTTCCCATTCATTCATCTTTATATTTGATTGTCTTGAGACAAGGTTCATTTGAAGATGACTAAAAAAAAAAAATTTAGAGCAAAGAGTTTAATCTGTAGTTGTCGTTTTTTGCTTTCAGTTGTTTAATTCTGTAGTTGATGAAAAAGCCAAGCGAGCTGCCCTTCATTTGGTTGGCGTGGTAACATACTATGGCAAACACTACTCCACGTTCTTCTACAACACAGCACTGAGACTCTGGGTGTACTTTGATGATGCAACGGTCAAACAGGTAACAGAGTTTCAGGATAATACACTGTTAGTTCACACTTCTTAAACCCACAGAAAGTTCTGGCAACGGTTAAAACAAAACCACAAAAAGTTACTGCATTGGTAAATTTTGAAGAAAATCTGTAGATTGTCCAAGATTTTGTGTACATACAGGACAATTGAACATTAAGCTATGCCTGTTAAAGTTGGGTTAAAGTTGACTACTACCCAAACTTGTTTATAAATTGCATGTCGTACTTGCCATACCATTGCATACATGTAAGTAGGAAAACAAATGTGCACTTTACTTAAAGTTCAGCACATGTGATATGCACTGATAGTGCGATTGACCAAACGGTGTTCTGTTGTGTGTGCAGGTTTCAGAATCAATCGTGACAGGCTCAAGATTAGTCTTTACCTGTTTATGCTAGTCTTCAGGTTTCTATCTCTATCTACTATGCATCTTTCCTATATTTTTCATGAAGGTTGGACCTAATTGGAGAGATGTTGTGAACAGATGTAAGCGTGGTCACTCACAGCCATTGCTACTGTTATTTGCAAACCCTGATGGCACCCCAGTACCTACAGAAATGGCTCCTAAGGAATCCACAGTACTACCTGGCTACACACAGCTCAAGAGTCCAACAGGTACATTGTCATGATTCTATATCTGATCTCACATGCAACAATGCAACACATTTAAGCATTGAGTTGTTGGGCCTATCTGATGCAGGTGTACATCATTTATTGATTGCTTAAATAATTTATTTGGTAAAAAAACCTCCAGTTTATATTGTTTTGACTAAAACTCTGGTCTGAAGGCAACATTGTACGAAGGTTCAGAAAGTTAGAGAGGACCACACATACTTGTGTTGCATCGGGAGAATCAGATTAATTTAGTGATGCTTTCCTCACCTTCCACAGCTGTGACTCAGGTTTGATTCTGCCCAGGGTCTACATGTCTGTGGGTGTTCAGTCTCTGCTGATTATGGGTTTTTTCCCCGTGAATATTAATCCATGATTTTCCTCCCACCTCTAAAACTAATTTCCTTCTTCATCTCTTACCGAGGGACCCACTAGAAACAAGTATAACAATAAATGAAACTAACTCCAGTTACACCAGAAGTTATGTATTCCAAGAATAAGGGTAGGAATTGTATCTCATCTTGTACTTGGTCTTTAATCCTCAAGCATGGAACATTGATTCAACAGGCTGGGAAAAACATAGGGCTGCGTTCAGCTTGTCAGTAGGAAGAAAGGTTCAATGAAACAGCTTTGAAACATTCAACCTGATGCTGGACTCAACCATCAGATATAATGATGGGTTGAGCAGGATCCAATCATTGTATTCCTGCTCACCGACTCAGCTATCCTGGTTTATGTTGAAGGTCTCCCAATTTGTTTCAGAGGATGCACCACATTTCTTTCTCTCATTTTTCTTGCAAGTTTTCTATCACATCTTCCTTTGCTCATCAGGACTTTTATTTGTTGGATTGTCCGGACACAATGAGTGTAGATTACTTTTCTAGTAGTTCAGTAGACATTCTCACCAGCTATTTAGTCCTCTTCAGCCTTCAAAGAATTGAAGACATTGTAACAAAGATAAACAAAATATGGGTGTACTTAGGAAATATTGCTTCACATTAGACATACCAGTTTGTATTGTTTCTCTATAAGATGTGATCAGTACCTTCATCAAGTTTTTTTTTATCGCTTTCTCCACAGACAAAAATTCAAGAGCCCATCCTGCACGTGATCCTCGTAGCACTTCAAACTTGAGCAAATATCAGCCAATGCAGCCAGTTGTGGAGTATAAGCCAGTCTATGCAAGCCAAGATACAGCAGCACCAGGACAGAAACATGTGGTAGAGATTGGCCATGATGCAGTGCAGAAACTACAGACTAGGCGGGATGGTGGGCATAGTACAAGCCAAAATAGTCAGTCTTCAGTACACAAACGCCCAGGCAGTTATGCTGGAAAGACCAGTGTACGCGAAAATGAAGGATCTTACAGGACCCTTCAGAAGCCTCTAACTTCTAACCAGCTAAGTACTGATACGACCAGTACTGTACCAAATTCATCATCAGTAGCACAGAGTAGAACAAAGATGCAAGGTGATCAACGCCATAGCTTGGCTGATGATCTGATGATGAGTTCACGTTATCCACATCAGAGTGAGGAAGTCACTGGCAATGTGTCACTTACTAGATCTCAAGGTTTCCCGGTATCTGACATGCATGTTGCATCTCCCATTGTCCCAAGAGGAGATAGAAATGACAGGTCTACTCATCCTCTTCATCGTATGACAGCTGTCACCCAAATGCCCCATCCTAAGAAACTGGAGAGACATGAATCCTGGAGTGGACGTCCTAGTCATACGATGGGCCTTGCATCCCAGTCAAGGCGGAATATTGATAACAAGTATACAGTTCAGCGTCACAGCTCATTTAGTAACGGTACACTACCGGACTCACAGCCACGCACTGTGCCCACTAGCATCCCAGATAGGCAACCAATCAGTGGTCAGACTAATAGGTTGGCTAACATGATGCCACCCCACAAGGCTCTTCCAATAGCGGGATTTCCAACCAACCAAACCAAGGCCCAGTTTGGCAGTGTACCCAATCTACACCAAGGCTTTGATTTGAGAGCTGGTAAGTCAGTGTCTGTGCAGAACATTGCATTGGCCGAGGAAGGAATACTGGCCAGCGCTATCAAGAATAATATCCAGCAGAAGAGGTCTAGCACCAGTGATGTATCATTGGGGAGTAGCAATGGGCATCAGTCACAGCAGGGCAGGAATGGAGTCACATCAGATCAAGAGTTATCACTGGCAGCAAGAACTGATCGATATGGCTATGATAGTATCTTAAAGCCAGACAAGCAGAACATCAATCAGGACCAAGCTAAGCAGAGGAACATGCAAAGGATAGACAGGGATTACGATAAGTCTGAATCATTGGTTAGAAATACAAGTAGTCAGGGGTTACAACACACCGACAATTCCCACAGTACCAGCGTTGATCCTAAAACAAGCAGAAGAGGCCTGGTGTCAGGTCAGAGTCTTCAAAACAGAGATTCAGTTGCAAGCAGAGATTCTGGGTATCGAAGCAGAGATCGATCCAGTGCCAGCTCTGGTAGTGTGTATTCCATTGAGACACCTACATCTACACGCACAGGCTATCCACTAGACAGTGTGGATACAGCAAGAGAATCCACTCAACAGATGCAAACAGACGGATATGATTACCAAGCATCGAGTGGGCTACAGGATGTGGATACTGTCTGTGATGAGATTTGTGCTGAATGTGCTGATCTGGAGGCTCAGTCTAGATTGAAGGGAGATGCTGGTGACTTAGCTACAGCTCTAGCTCTCTGCACTGCATCAGTTAGTAAGTATAACAATAACACGGGAACAAAATGACAGTAATCTAAAACATGCTTCTTTTTTTAACATTCAAATCAGTAATTTGAAATTTGACCAGATAGGGTTAGTATACTCCCAAGAAATCAAGAGTGCAAGGTTTTGTTGAGATTATGAGAAGTTTTCAGAAATTTTGGGAATCTTGTTGAACTTTGTTGGAGAGCTGTTTTCATTGGCCTTAAGACTTTATCTGATTGATTTTTTTTTTAAATAGGTGTTTGCCCATAATAATGATTCAAAATGTTCTTGTCCGAAAACAAAAAAACAATACTACATTCTTGGAACTTGACGGTGCCAGATTTATCCCTATGCTCTTGAGATCAAAATATTTCATATGACAAAATTTAGGACATTTGTTTGAAATGCTGTATGCTACTGTTCATTTGTGCACTGTTTTAATCAGTTTACTTTCATACGTACCTTCTTTTGTTGCAGCCAAATTAAAGGAATGTTTGAAACTGGATGGCATATCTTCTCAGAAGCGACAGTTACTACACAGTAGATACAACACTGCTGTGCTACAGTCCAGAAACCTTCATCGACGGTTGACTATATTACGTGACCTGGATGCCTATCCTGTTGGTCAGAAGGACACGTCTCCTGCCAGGTCAGCAATTCTTGTCATGCGCACAATCCTTAATACTATACACGACGACTAATCCAGCCAACACAATAAGAAACCCATACAGAAGTGGTACTATGCCCATGTACATGCGGTACACTTGTCACATACATTCATTTATCGTTTCTGATATATGGTGGTATGGTCCTTTTTGCTCAAAATCTTAAACAATACTATTGGTTGTGGTGATGGAAATGTGCACAGTCACCCATGTCTTTTTGCAGCAATGCTTGTGACTTGAATTGTAAAGCAAAATCTAGGAAATTTTAAGATTTCAGAAAAAAAATATCTGATCATATCTAAAGCACTTTTATTTCCCTCAGCCGAACATTGGTTTGATGCCCTAATTTATGTTTTTGTTTACATGATTTAACATGATTTTTTGTTACCATTACCGACTAGTTCATAGGGGTCTTGGGCCGATACTGCCGGTTAACTGTCCTAACAAATGACACTCTTCTTTGTGCTTTGTTCACAGTCCAAGTCAGCCACCATTAGTGGCCAAAGATTTAAATCTCATCAACTTACAAGAAGCTTCTGATGACAGCAGTCGAGTTGACAGACTCAAGCAGCAGCTTCAAGAGTTGTACATGCAAGATAAAGGCTCACAGTCTGCCAAGCAAGAGAATTATGGTGGACTTGCTATGAGACCCAACCAATCACAGGTCACTCACACACACATACATGTACCTAGGTCTAGAATGTCAGCTGATGTGTTTGTGAATGACAGGAAGACTCTTGACAACTTAAGATCATGTGATGCCCACAGCAGGATGACAAGCCTCAATAGGAATCAAAACGCTGGACGTGAATCATACGTTGCCAACAATTGGCTCTCATACTCATCTCAACTCTTAGGTGGTGAGAATACTGAGAAAGCACCAGTGTGTGCATGGCAGAAATATGGCATACATGGAAGTGAAGATGGAATGAACAGTATGTCACGGCAAAGCACCCATGAAGATACCGGTACAAGGAGAAACGGCGTAACACAGCCAGGCATGCATGAAGACATCAGAAGAAACGGCGTAACACAGCCAGGCATGCCAGGCATGCCAGGCATGCATGAAGATACACGGAGAAACAATGTGACTGGTACACAGCAGACATATGGTAAGCACTGTAACATGGACCTTGGATGGGATTTAGCAATTGAATGAAGTTGAAATGGTTTCCCTTCAATGACGAAATGCACTGTGTGCAAAGTGAGTTTTGAAAGCATGTTTTTCTACTTTTATTTTATTACATTTTTCCACTGGCTAACAAAAATATGAACATTACAAGATATACAGTATCAAAGATTTAAAAATACTAAAACTTATAATAGAAATAAATTGCTAAAAGGATTATGTCAGATTAAGGATTAAGCCAGTGAGTGGCAAGATGAAACAGGTGACTTGCACCTCTACAGGAAAACGAGAGTCTTAAAGAGGGGGCGGGGCGTGTGAGAGGGGGAGAGGGGAAGAAAAGGGGGAAACAAGGGAAGGCATGTAATGTGCCTTGAGAATATTCACACCTAAAACTTCTGCATTTTCAACCCTTTTTCAGCAACTCATTGAAGGGTTTTGAAAATGATCAAACAGTTTTGGTATTAGAACTTTACAAAAAAGGTTCCAATCAATCTTTATTTATTATTTTTTTTAAATAAAATTTCCACATTTGATAAAAATATGCAGGATTTGCCTCATGTTCCGGGTTACAGTATTTAACACTGAGAAATGTGGTCACGTTAAGGGTTGAATTGCCTAAGAACCAAAATATGAGGTTTTTTTTTTTGGGACACAAAAAGGTAAGGGCCAGATTTCCCCACTTTTAATAAACTAATGCCACTGTTTGCTTGATTTACAGTCATCATCTTCACAGTTTACTTGATCAGCACAAACATTCGTTTTGCTGCAAACTGAACAGTTTTTAAATGTTCAGTGTTTTTGTTATTTTGCACCTGCATATTTGCATGCTGGTTATGTACATGCCAAGGGTTTTCCTCTTCATTCAGTCATAAGTGCTGTGCATTGAGAAGGCTGTTACTTGCATTTCCATCCATAAATACCTCAAACATGTAAGTTGCCAGTCAAATTTAAACGCACGCATGTACACCAAAGGTAGAGTTTTAAAAAAACAACGGGTACATGTTTCATCTTCAAAACCCACACAGTGTCAAAGGAGCATTCATCCCGTGACTTGTGATTGACTCATAATGGACTGAAGTAGAAATCGTTCGATAAACATTTGATTATCACACCTGTATTTTCTGAGGTCGTTTAATAAAAAGTACACTGTAGACAAACGTGTTTGAGGTTATTTAATGAATGGTTATTTGAACAAATGTTAACATGTTTAGAAGCATACCATGTATAGAGGATGTGCAGAGTTCAACACTGGAGCAAGTGTGGATGTGTTGATTTGCATAATGCATGTCTAACATGCTTGCTTGCTGTCCACCATCAGTTCAAACTCCTTGCCAGTTACATGCCTGTACATCCTCTATATCTTGCTGACTAACACCAGCAATGCACATCTACAGCTACGTGTATCTGGGGCTGCTTCATACTTCAAGCGAGAGGCATTCGCTGTGACATTTGCCCCGATTTGAAATGAGTTCAACATTTGTGAATTCTCAATGTGAATACACTGTACTTTGCGTGATGTCATAACTTGACATGTGCATTCCCTCTGCGCCAAGTATGAACTGGTCTTTACATGTTTCGTGTTGGATAAAGTGCAAGTTCCTATCACTTCATTTTTATTTGTTGCAATATTTTTCTGTTATTTTCCCCCAACCATGTTTTGCTTGCTGATCATCATTTCATATGGACTATTTATCGACAGAGTTTACAAGGTAAAGTAGTTGTTGCTTTGGTCCTTTGAGTAATGGTTGTTTGGTCAAGGTGTCGTTGTCACCTGTGGCTCAGTGTGTTTGCTTTTAGTTGCTTCATGTTGCATACATTGTGTTTTATAACTGCACATGATGTAATAAGTTTCTGTGTTTAAAGCCATTGTTTGAAAAGGTTAAAATTTGTCGCAACATACAATTGTTGCTCCTATGTTAGCGTTAATCTGTCAAGATAATGTCTTCACATGAATTGTTTTAATCGGTGACTTGATTGTGAAATCAGTTCATGTTGTGAAGTGTGCTTACATTACACACACAAGAAAAGCATTTAGAATTCCTGCTTGTAAGTGATTGGTTGAGTCACAGTCTGGATCTAGTATTGCTGACCTATATACCCCATCCCATGATGCATCTGCAAGGAAGAATTGCTTGTTTCTTTGCATTTTCCTTGTTAGGCCATGGGTGGAGGATTTAGCAGACAATGTATACTATGTGGAATGTGATAGAATTCTTATGTTTTGTGCCAAAGTCTGTGTTTCTTTAAAAGACATTCATCAAAAAGACACTTAACTTTCTTGACCAAGGATCTTGATGGCATTATGTGTGAGTTCTGTTTTCTATATCTATGTATTCCATTCATTCTGCATTTGTTTGACACAGGCCAAGTGAGGAGTCTCAGTCAGCCCTTCACAGCACATACGTCTAATGTACATGTAAGTTGCTTCAAAAGAATATCCTAATTCAGAAACCCAACTGCCACATACTGCCATATATATAAGTATAATGACTATTTATTGTTTACTTTTTCTGGATTTGTTCTCATGTAGTTATATAATGGAGAATTCTAAACTAACTTCAACCCTGTTGAACCTCGGACGTAAATGATAGTCGGAGGTGGATATATAAGTTTAATATACATGTATATCCAACTGGCAACGTTCTTAGCTTTATGCTTCGTGGTCTAGAGTATTAAATTCAAGATGTGTAAGTCACTCTGCTGATCATAGATTGGAGTCTGTGTGGTTGCAGTCCTAGGACATGAGGAGGATTTGTCACAAATTGGGAACCTGTGAGAGCAGAGAATGGATGTGTTTGCACCTATATTGACTGCTGTGTGCTGTGTGAGTACTTTATGGTGGAACCACGTCGACGCGCATGCCGCATGCGTTCTTGAAGATGAGGCACGTGCGCATTTTGTTAGCCCTATTGGTCGAGGGAGCTTGGAGTGCCTACCTAGTACATGTACCTGAGCGCCTCTTGCATGAGCCTGGTGTCACCTCAGAAAATGGCTATCACCCAATTAGTCTGTACAAAAGTGGTCTTACAAAAACTTCATGTTTTTGTACCTGTACATGTATGTATGTTTGGCTTGAATTTCCACACTAACTTGAACATAGTATCATGTACCGGGTTGTTGAATGGTATAATTGACATCCTGTGAAACCACCAGTCCATGATAATACCTCGTAATATTACTCATGTAGGATTGAGATTTCTTTTGTCGTTCCCAGAATTTCCTATTGTGTTTTATGTTTGTAATTCATGTGATACAAAAGACACATCAGCATATAACTGTATAGCAATTAGGTGTATATTTTGTTTTTGCCTTGAATATATAGAATACCTACACTTTCATATTACTGACTAAATTAAACACTTCTGAATTGGTTCATTTTGTCTTAATTGCAGAATGGCAGACCCAGAGGTAGTGCATTCAGGCCAGATGTAGTTACTCCAATGACCTACAGCGACATATCAAGCTGTACACAAACATTCACTAATTCTAGTGTTAGAGAATGCCACTTAGACAGCCAGACAAGTCTAGGTACCAGACTGTGTCGTGCTAGCGCTGTGCCGTCCATGGTTGCATGTAAGGCTTATTGTACTGAAGTCCCTACACCTAAGCCAGCCAGTCATCCAAACCCTGGCAATAAAGAACTCATAGACAAAACCAATGCATTGATGGACAAAAATCTGGAGGAGTTGATATCAGAGCATGATTGGTATTAGTGAATGATACACCCTCCATTCAAATGCTAAGGTTTGTATTGCAACATAGTTTTCAGTTCAATTTCGAATAATCACATCTGACTTGAACTCTTGATAGTCCAAGTCAATTGTTCTGATGTCAGTCAAAATGTAATCCAGCTGATGCTAGAGTGAATATTGTACATTTTAGATGTGAGCCTGTATTCATTAGTATACAAATAAGGAATGTTTATGAGTGCAGTGGTAAGAATTTCATGTGGTGACAGATGGAAAGTTCCATTTCACGAGACGAAACCAAGTGGAATGAAACATCCCATCTATTTCCAATGAAATTACTCTTTCCATTGCACGAATGTGAAACATTCATTATTGGTTTTGTACACCACCTGAATAAATCCTCATCATCTGATTGGTAACTTGTAAACTGGTATACAGCATCAGAGCCACCTGAGTGCAGCCAATAGTGAGACCGTGCAAAGGAAGTTCTGTTTACAGTGGAATGGAACTTCTATTTTTGCGGTGCAGCCGCGCTGTGCGTTAGGATGAATAATTCAATGACGCGATCAACAACTCACCAATCAGATGTAGGGGATTTATTCAGGCGTTGTGTATAGTACATGTGCAACCTAACCGCAGCCATAATAAATGCCTCTTGATCATAAGTATCATCCTAGCACATGCACTTTGACTAACATAAAATTCTCTGCACTGAAATAGCTGTACATAAAGTTAATTTATTAGTCCCTGCTTGGGATGCTTGCATCATATTGTTGGCTGATGTTTTTTATTTGTGAAAAGGTTTGTGTTTCATTTGGAGGATTAGATTGAATATAAGGCCAGTTGGGATGTTTGTAAGCGCATTGGTGTATTTGTCACCAAGTGAAACTCATATTCTGAATTGTACTCAATATGTCTCAGAGAAATGTGGAAAACATGACAGCTATTGGCCATGCCTTCCTAAACTATGGCCAAGATTGAGCACAATTCAACTTGTTACAGGTTTGCACATTGAATTATGACCAAAGTAAGGCACAAAACTGATGAGGAAAGATACTTTTATTTGGCAGTCATTTGTATTCTATTGTGTGTGGAGATTTGAATTAACTGTCCCCATTTGGTCAGTGTATTAGCCACACTTGGTCAGAAATGATTAAACAAAGCTTAGGTGTGCATTAATGCAGTAAGCTCCCTTGTTGGATTTTAAATATACATTCATTACAAATAATATCATGTAAAGATTAGTCTTGTCAATTTAGGCCCAATTTCCTGAGGTTCAAAGGTTGCATCAGAGAGTTTGCACAAATAATTTTGCTGAAATTTTGGTTTTAATAAGTACATTTATTAAGGAACAGTCGATTTATGTGTATATTTGAACTTTATACCAAAGGTATAGTTTGTTTTTGAAAATCTTACAAACGTTTGTACTAAATGGTTAACTTTTTGAATTCATGCAAAATTCAAATTTAATTCCCTATTATTTTTAATATAACTTTTTAGCATAAATTATCTGTAAAAAATAATAATTTATGAATTTTGTTATTTCCTTGGAATATTGGCCTCAGTCTGTTTTGAGGTACTCAAAGTCGAGACGTGGTGGAGTGAGCATTTTCGTACCATTTGTACTTTTTCAGGACCAGTAGATAGCAGTTTGCAGTTACATGAATGAAAACGATTGAAAAGAACTCTCTTTTCTTTTGTTTTCTGAAAATTACCATTATTAAACTGAAATTATACATTGACAAGATAAGTTATGCTTTTGAACAAAACTCTAAATTGTTTAGCACCAATGTTTTATGACCTCTATTGTAGTCTAGTACTTAAGTTAAGTGACTTGACTCAAGTTTGATTGAGTCATGACTTGCATTGACTACTTTCCAGTTCCTACTTCATGTCAAATTGTTAGCTGGCTTGCAGGTGTATGTCATGGAGTACCGGAGTGAATACGTCACACGCAGTAAATGTGTGTAAAAGACATTAGCACGTGATTCAGCCCGTGAACCAACACGCGCGCGTACTCCATTCGTTTGCCCTACACTTTCTGGTTCTAAATGATGTCACACTTCGGTACTCCATAGCAGGGCCTCCTAGTACGGTGTCATACTATCATTGCAGAATTTAATCTCAGTTTGTTATGCGTGTGCTAACTAAAATAGCACGATGTCAAGATGCCTGACTTGAATCGACTCAAGCAAAACTTTGACTCAACATAATTGCACAATTTCAGTAAGGCAGACGCACAGGACCTTGTTTGCCTAATGACTGACTCAAGTCACTGCCTTAGAATGACTCAACTTGATTCAAGTCAATTACATCAGTGGCCGGTTACAATACTTATAGTCAGTAACTAGACTATAATGCAGGGGCCATATTCATGAAACCTTACTAACTTAGCAGCCAACTAGGCCTTAGTAGGATACTAAAATGCCTAGTAGTCTAATATGGAGTTGACAACTAAATTGTTATTCATGAAACCTTACTAAGAACATTGCTAACTAGTGACATACTAGGAGAATTTAGTTGCATACCTGAGTAACTAGATTTGGGTGCTTTGGATGGAGTGGGCATGTATGGAATGTGATGACAACACATACAGGTGCATTAGGCTAATCCATGTCCAGCACTTGCGTGGATTAGCAAAAAAAGAAGGAAAAAATTGTGTAATGCAAGTAAGTGAATCAACATCAAATTCTCTAGCAATTTGCATATAAAGTAAAAAGGGCAAGGAAGGCAAATTATTCTCAAGAAGAGTTCTAACTCATTATGGCAGACAAGTATGAGGAATTAAGCATAAGGATGCAAACACTAACAAGAAAAAGAAAGATGCATGGGCGGCTATTCTCAGCCAACACCTTATGAGAAAGTCCAAGAAGGCAACCGGAGGGGGAAAACCACCTAAAAAGCCAAGTCTGGCACAACAAAAAATGATATAGTTGCCAACTAGTGACTTAGAGTTGCCCTGGATCTACACTAACTTAAGTAAGAAACTTAGAATGTAACTAGCATTAGCAATGTTTCATGAATATCAATTAGTTTCCAACTAGGCTTAGTAAGCAACTACATGCATATTTAGTAAGCAACTAGGCTTAGTAAGGTTTCATGAATATGGCCCCAGGTCCATAGCCAGGGCTGGGGTGGGTGCTGAGCCACCCATTTTATGTGGTCTAATTTTTAGCTGTCCATTTTGAATCTTTTTTAACAAAATTTCTTTATGCTTGGATAATGTTTTTTCCAACAGAACGTTTTACTTAAATTTGAATGTGTCCTTTGATAAAAAAAATATCCAGACATTGGTTGAATGCATACATGGTCAAACACTAAAAAAAAAATCAGATTTAATTTAAAAAAAAAGCTCTAACAGGATGCACTCCTCAGACCTGTCTGGCTATGGTCCTGCATGATGTCCTAATAGCTTTGCTAATTGCATAGGTTTGAAATTTAATCTCGCTCTGAAATGCCAAATTTATTTTTCTAACTACAACATTTTGTATCGGTGATTCTTGAATTTATATTTTATAGTGACAGTACGTTGAATAATTTTTTTCATGGAAACTGGTTGCTTTGGCAATTATAATAGGCTTTAGAGTACTGAGGTTTTTGCTAGATGTTTTAGCCTCAAAGGGAATTGTAATAAATATTTAAAATAAGTAAAATAAAGTGAAATGACAATTTGAAATGTGCTGGAATTTGAGTTCATTCTTCATGCCTTTGTACAATGTAAAGTTTCTAAATCTTAATGTCTTCTGAAATCCAACAGCCAACAGACTAGACATAACGTGCCATTTTGTTGATATTGGATTGATACTTGGTAGTGAAAGTATATACACATATCAAGTTTCTTTAAGACATGAAATCAATGCCAGTCACAGACTTACAGGAGTCGTACAGCTATTACATGTAGTGATTTTAAAACAAAGTTGAACATTCCTGAAGCCCACATCATTGTGAAATATTTGAAACAATCTTTAAAAATAAGTGATGTACTTTTGGTCATTGACTCGAATTGAATTGGTTCTACTGGGTGTATGCAAACAGAAATTCAAAATGGATTGGTATGTTTAAAATATGATTGGGGGGGGGGGGAACTTAAGATTGAAATTTGATTTTGATTTCTTACACACTAAACATGAATTGACTGCTTTGACTGAAATATGTTGAGTGTCTTAAATTGAATGCTGTACTAATTACAGAGGGAGGATAGTTATAATTTGCCTAAAATTAAAGCAACCCCTTATTGACATCTGATTAATTAATCAAATATACACCAATTCCATATTGAGTTTTGCCCTTCAACGATGTATTATAAACTAGTCTATCTCAAATTGAAATAAGTGAAAATCTACGTGAATGTCTGCAGACATGTCTGTCGCAAAATATTTGCCTTAGTGAAATATACCGGATGGATCAAGAAAAAAAGGTTATCCCACAATAATAGATCTGTATGTTAAAATTATGATGTTGAACACTCATCAGTGGAGTTGCATCTGAAGCAGGACATCCTGGAAAAAAATGGTTTATATTGTATTATATAACACCCAAGTAGATCCTCGTCATTTGATTGGAGGATTGTAGGCCACGCGGCATACATCAATTGAAGCATTGCGTGGCCTTTATTATGCATAACTGTGCATTTTTATTTCCATTCACCATGAATTTTCATCCAACCTTTTTGATCTATTGCACGTTGCGCGCACCCTAAGACGCGCAGCGGCCCGGCGCTATACAATCTTTTCGCTATTTAGAGCATATCATGCGTTATAGCAATACAAAACTTGCCTTTGAAGTTGATGCAGTTGCCTTGATGATTTTGTTTGCATTGTTTTAAGAACTTCCAATGTTAAATTTCATTATTGTCAATGATTTGACTTTTAAATCTTTGTTAGCCTTGGACAAGCTGAAAAAAAGTAGTGGATATGACACGATCAGTGGCGTAAATCTGTGCCAGCGAGTGGGGGATGAAGGTTGACCAAAATATTCGTGTCTGCCCCGTTAACACCTCTGCCCGGCTCACGAGCAGGTCTCTGGTGCATGCCCGGGTGTCATTACGTAGCTGGATGAATTTGTGGCTAGATAGATTGAAGATGGTGGGAACTTGAATTTGAAGTGAGTACAAATGTAGAGATTTATGATTAAAAATGTAATGCAATTTATGTTATCAAGACCAATTGGACAGACATATTTTTGTGGCTTTTGAAAAAGTTGATATGGATCAAGGAATAATCAGTAATGCTAAAATGCTTCAATTCCTTATTGCCAAAACAGTTATTAAACTCAATCCCTGACACTCAGTAAAAACTTATCCACACATAACATCAAACACGATACAACACATGTCAGAGCAGATAATTCAATTTAATAATCAGATGAAAGGGTGGTCTTTTGTACTCAAATAAATAAATATGTACAAAATATACTACAGTTTGCGCAGCACTGACAGTTAAAACATAATACTCCGTGTCCGTGTAGTGGAGTGCTTTGATCAATTCTGAACAGGCACCCACTACCATTATCTCGATCGTCACAATATTGCAGAGATACTACAATTTGATGTTGAGTAGTTTGGATGGCAACTTGCATTAACACCGTGCTTTTAATTGAAGGAAACAAAAATAGCATCCAAGATGAAAACGGGGAGTATATCAACCTCTTACCCCACACACCCCAATAATGATCATGGATCATCCATGTAGTAATGAAAATAATCAAAAATAGGAGCAGTTCAACAATTGCTTTATGACAGTATAAAATAAAATTGATATGAAAGATGTACAAACTACTACAGAAAATAAATGACATAACTTTGGCATACTTTATGTGTGAGCTCTGATTTCTGTCAATGTTAATGCTAAATGCAATCCCTAGTTGAGATGCTATACATGTACTGTGTTAATGGGTTACATTGCTGTATTGGTTTGGACAGAACTGCAGAAATACTTTGTCCCTTTCATACCACACAATAAAGATTGATAAACCTGCTGCTTCATGCTTTCTGTCCATACCTGTTGTACATGTATTTGATTGTGTCATTACGCAGTCCAGCAAGACATGGTTACTAACTTGGCCAATTTACTATATTCATGGACCTTCAAAACATTTCCACAATATGGCCACTTGCAACGGTTGAGTTATATAATACACAGTGCCATTCTAGCACTCGTTCATGTATTTTTGTGGACAAGTTACGTTGATGTATGAACAACAAAGTTACTCTGTGAAAATGGCCTGACATATGACAGTTGTGTGTGTCAGCTGTAAACTGAAAGAGACCAAACCTTGGGAGTAACCCTGATGACCAAGCATGAAAGATACTCATGACGGGGTCTACCCGATGTTCCCCTATACCTATGTTCCCCGAAATCCTTAGGATTAGGGCTAGGGTTAGTGTTAGGGTGAGGATAAGAATTTCGGGGAACATCGATATTCATGATATTGGGGAACATAGGTATTGGGGTACATATGTATGCACCCCTCATGACTTGTAGTGTGACTTTATGAACAATTATGTTTAGTACACACAAAGTGCAGTGTATTAGGAATCTGTTCTTAGGTCCATATTATTTACATGGTCTCAATTCTGACTCAATACGTTTAGTAGACCGATGTCATTGGCTTCTTTCTCTACAAATGTGAGGTCTCATTTTGATTTCGGTATGTTGCTGAGTTCTGTTATTATTCAAAAAATCTGTCGTATCTTATTGACATTATTTGAATTGAATAATATTGGGTTTTGCCCTTCACTGATGTAATTCCAGTTTTCTTTCAAATTCACCATTAAATTTGACAGCAATTTGTATTAATGGCCGTATCAGATCTACAGTATAATGTAGACATGATGAACCTCATGACAGACGACTGCATGTGATCCAGTGTTGTGATTTATCCTCAGAATAATACATTAAGATACATATCAGAATCACAGCATATTGTACATATATAAACCTCATGATGGGCTGTGACATAAACCTCCATTTCATTATAAAGGACGTAGCATCTGAATTACCTCATGAAAGATCACGTGCTAACCTCAATGTACACATTGACCACATTCCCTTTCCACACTGGCGCAATGAAACAATCAAATATTCAGTTCCCCAGAATGCAGATTAAAAGTAGTTACAAAAATTAAAATAATAATTTCTGAAGAAACAATTTTTGCAATGTGGTTAGTACATACAGAAACATTAAAATTTCAAAATGTGTCAGAAAGCCTCAATCACAAAATTTTGAATAAAATGAGAAAAATGTCACTCAATACTATTCATATACCCATAGTTATACAAACTGCCTCATACGTGACTACTGTAGAACCTTTAATATGATTGAAGTACTTCAACTTTACTGTGCACAATTCCATCAAGAAAAATCTATTTTCTTCAAATGTCCATGAATACAGACCTAGCAGAAAACAACAGTAAAAATATCTGAATATCAAAGACAAGAAGAATTGTAAATAACTGAGCTATTGGTGTAGGTCATCCTATGTACATGTACTGTTTTATTAATTTCTTTCCTTTTTTAAGTAGCATTTGGCAAAATGATTTTGAGAATATCCAATATTCCCACACTGATCCTATTGCTTCTGGAGATGTAATGACAGGGTACTGCTTTCAAACAACCTTTTTTCACCGCAAAACTACGATTCACACCCAATACACACTGACATATTAATCATGCAGTCACCAAAAGCACAAATGGCAAGAAAATAGAAAATAACGGCAAACTGCTGCCAATCCTTAGGGCCTTTGGGAAGAATGAGGCTGCTCAGCCATAGTCATCATGATCACCAAATCAGTACTAAATCGTTGGACTAGTTTCAAGGCAAAAGGTCTATCTAATTTTATGAAAACAAATTAAAATGGTTTTCTACTTCGGAGAAACCTTTCACCCATGTTTTCTTTAAGAAATTGACTTGTTTGGAACCCAGACAGATTACTGTTGCAAAGTACAGTACTATCCCTGTACTCCCATAGGGATGAACAATGGGTGGAAAAAAACTAATCATAACAATTCCTTCCAAATTATGACATCATGATCCCTGTAACCAACACCTTCTTTCCCAAATCAGCTCCACCAAAATCAGAACACTGACACTATATACTGACTGTCTGTACTATGCAGTGTGCCTCAAAACAAAAATGCAAACAAAATATAACAGAATGCCAGACGTAGAATGCGTAACCAACATAGATAATATACGTATTGTTTGAAAGATACGCCTTTCCACTTTTTAACGAAACATCAAACGTCCAAAGCTGATAATTTTGGTGGGAGTTCTGAGTAATTTCCAAGAGAGGTCAAATTGACCATGAGACCAAGTTTTCAATGTTAGGCAAATCTTGCTATCAGTTTGTAAACATGTTTACCAGCTAAACGCACGTGTCCAATTCCTAAACAACAAGTTTCAATGGCTAAACACAATCCGTCCTCATGCTAAAAATGTTTAGCATGTAAACATGTTTACAAACTAATAGCCAGAAAGTGTTTAGAATTGTGTTTACTCGCTAAACACATTTTTTTGTAGGTCAGGCAACTATCCACACAGAGGCAATTAGGCTGCCTTTGTCCCAATGCCTAAAATTGAAAACTTGGTCCCATGGTCAAGTTGACCTCTCTTGGAAAATTACTCATAACTCTGTCAAAATTATCAGATTTGGACATTTGATGTTTCATATTAAA